TTAAAACCAAAACACAGTATCATACCAGACACTGTGAAGAAAAACTGTTTGAGCTGAAATGAAGATAGGCGAGTTATCAGTAACTGCTGGTTTGAATGAAACACTGGCAAAACATTCAACACACCTGAAAAATTATGTTGTATATATGGAAGATTTATGAGCAACAGAGAAAATGCATTTGTTATTTGTTGTTTCACTAAAATCCGCTCAGTGCTTGTGGTACAGTAATTATTATTGTTTTATACATTTTTGTGCCAGATGGGTAGGATGCAGTATACTATCATAATTGATTCTCAGTACTACGTTTGTGCTGTTTTTTCACTTTTTCTCCAAACGTACTTAATGCTTGCCTAATGGTCACATTGTATGGCCTTAAATATGGTTACATATGTGCAAGGCAATATCATTTGGCTGTTACTCTTTGAACTTCTTTACCAGGTACTTTTTTGTTGTTGTGGGTGTTTGTGTATTCTGAAGATAAGCACAGTGATGCAAAGAAGGGTACAAGAAATTACTTAATATCCTAGACTGTGAGTAGAGTAGTAATTAGCTCAGCATGGTTTGATTGATAAGACTCAGAAAATAAAGCAAGCTAAGGTCCTTTTCAGGTCTGTGTTCTCTTCTGCATGACCAAGCTGTCTCTGTTTTCTCAACTTCTGATTTTCATTTTTTTTTTCTTTCTTTCTTTCTTTCTTTTTTTTTTTAATTTTGTTTTGTTTTGTTTATTCCTCTTAAAAACCTCTTGCTTTTGAGGATAGGTCCATTTTCTGTACAGTTTAGCACACGAGGGCCAGAGAGTCTGAAGTATTCTGAAGTTTCTGAAGTTCTCAAGGGATAATGTAGTGCAGATTTTACACGTGTAGTTGGATACAAGTGATGATAGGGAGAAGAATCACACAAATTTCACAATAGTCTTTTCTTTTTTTTTTCAAATATTTCATCTTCTGCTGTATTTTCATTTGCTTTTTACCTCTCTCAAAAATTTATCTCAAGATTTATCATCTGGTCAGTGAGGTCACCTGCCAAATTCAGCAGTCGGTATTTTATAGAGGAAAGACCAGGTTTGTCTGGTTTAAGTGACTACAGGATTTATTTTTTTCATAGTAAACTATTCCTGCTTATGAATTCTAGGATAAACCATCGCTTTCTCAAGTGGAAGCTCAAGGATTGTAGTGCATAAAAGGGTGTATGCTGCACATATGAAAGAGTGCAGATCCTTAACTCCCCAATCTGTAGTGATTAAAAAGCTTTGCTGTGATGGAAACACTGCATGCTTTTAACTATCTGCATAGATCACTAAAATTCAGTATATCCTTCTGACTAATGTGCTCTAAGCTTACTTTCGCCACGATCCTTATTATCAGCTCTTAACAATGACAATGCTAACTGAAGGCTGTTCACATGAATAGAATAGCCGAAGGTGTTTGTTTCTTCACGTTGTCCTTTCAAAATAACATCTTGGTCATATATAACATTGGTTACTAATTTCCAGTTCAGTCATGGCACCTTGTGGTTCAGTATGTGTCTAGTATTGGATATCTTGTGCTCTTTGCTGAGAAAATAGTTATTTGTAGAAATTCTTTTGTCATGCATTTTTAAATAGGACAGATTGTCAACACTTCTCCAGACTTCATCTCATAGATTCCACACACAACTAGAATACATCGGTTGATGTGAAAATCTGTACTTCCACCCATAACTGTGTGTAAAAGGGCTAAAAAAGTTTTCTTGTTAACAGTGTTCAACACTGTTCAAGTCAGCAAACACTGTTCATATTCCATCTGAATTTGAACAGCTTTCTTGTTGCCTAAACTAAAATGCCTAAATGGTTTGAAGTTCAAAACCACGCTTTAAAAAAGTATAGGTAAAGATTTTGTTGTTGCTGTTAACCTACGGAGCTCTTTGACAACTGCACGCTGTGTTGGCCATCTATTGGACTGCCATCTAAGAGACATTAAGGGGTAAAGGAATATGTTACTCATAATTATGAAGCTCCACATACAGTTCTGTTCAATGTCAAAGCACTTCTAAGTACTGCAGATGGCTAACAAGTAGCCAGACCTTATTAAAGAAATGCAATTACTTTCACTGGAAAGGTTTTACAGTTATGTTCCACATCCCTCAATAACCTCCAGAAGACAGAGAAACATTAGAGCACTTACTTTACAGAGCAAAAAGCCAAAGAAGTAAAAACTAAATTATTTCATGTCCACAGTTTGAGAACTGGTATTAGAATTCAGAATGGTTTTTTTTTTTCAGAATTGGTTCTTACTACATTATTAAAGACAGAGGACATCATTGCACAACACTGAAAAATAAATGAAAGGACAAGTTTCAAGACATACCAAAATTCTGCTTTAGGTTTTGCTTTTCCATACAGGGTACCTGAATCTTTCTCTGCTTTGTGCCTTATATCAACACACGCACCTGCATAAATTCAGTGTAAATGAGAGCTAAACAAAATAATAGCATTTTATATTCTACTTTCTCATATATAAGTAAGTAGATACTCAGATTCCTCTAGAAAAATGCTGTCACTCAGTACAATAGACAGATTCATGCCAATCCATTAATAAAACACATATAGACAAAGCATACAGCTTCCTATATCTAATCACTGGCCAGTTTAAGAAGCTCTCTCCATCTCATACTAAGTTATAACAGTCAGATATAAATCTTATTTTACACCAGTGCCAGTTCTCAGTGTCCAAAAATCAAGTCAGCACACACAAACATGAAATTGGCTCAACTCACAAGATTTCTTTTCAAACTATTGATTATTCTCTACTTCTCCGCCTGTATTTGAATGTGTTTTAAATGTACTCAGCTCATATTTTCAGATTCTTACTTGAAGCCTTAGTGCTAGAAGCTAAGTTTGTTTAGAAAAAAGCTACAATTTTGAAGTAATTGCTTCTTTTGAGGAGATTAATATTAAAACAAAACAAACAAACAAACAAACAAAAACACCAGAAAACAAAACAATCTTAAAATATAACATAGTACGTATGATAAACAGTTATCAGCACTTATATTAGAAGTTGTACTGGGTTTATTTACACATTTTTTCCATTTATGGTTTTATCTTTCTTAAGGATATTTTTAGTCATTGCCATCACTAATTTTCATTCTGCTTTTCCATTCAATTCAAAAATGAAGATTTCAAATGTTATAAAATCAAATGTTATAAATGTTATTTTGATTCTCATTGAAATAGCTTTTGCAAATGTGATATTGCCTTATGTATATTATGTATTTCAGCAGTAAATAGTCACAACTCCCACGTTTAGTATTTATGCTGTGTAAGTACTATAAGGTAAACTTGTTGAAATCGAAGTCTCATTAATACATCAAATGTTCCTTATGTTTCTTCATTTAAAGAAATATTTGAGGTGATTTCACAAAAAGTGCATATTACTGCAATTAAAAAAGATCATCAGTAGTTTTTATTAATATACTTAAAAAAAAACAGTTTACGTCCTTGAATACTAAGTAACTAAGCAATGAACCAAAATTCACTCAGAATAACAACGGAATTTCATAGTATTCATTGGCATAATGTTTCTAATAATTGGATTAGCTTTAGATTGCTGGGAAAGTTATAATAGCTGTTGATTGAGGTGTATTACTGCTATAGCAAGCACTTTTTCAGGAGCTTTATGGAAAATGGAAAAACAAGGAATGAAATCCTAGACCTGTGGAACTCAGAGGCAAATCCCTCACTGCCTTAATGCTGTCCAATATTTCATTTAGTGGCTTTGGACAAAGACCCTTACAACTAAAGAGTTGGAAGCTGGACTAGATGACCCTTTAAGTTACCTTCCAACTCAAACAGTTCTATAATTCTATGAAACTCAGTGCTCTCATATTCAGAAAATTAACGAATGTCTTATGTGGCCACAATGGACATTCAGCCTTTAGGGTACGGATGTCATCTACCTGGCCTTCTGCAAAGTCTCTGACATGGTCCCTTACCACATCCTTCTCTCTAAATTGGAGAGGTATGGATTTGAAAGATGGACTGTTCGATGGATTAGGAATTGGCTTCTGGTCTCAGCCAAAGGGCTATGATCAATGGTTCTAAGTCTGGGTGGTGGCTGCTCAGAAGTGGTGTCCCCCAGGGGTCGGTCTTGGGACCTGTGCTCTTCAATATCTTCAGCAGTGACACAGATGATGGAATCGAGTGCACCCTCAGCAAGTTTGCAGATGACACCAAGCTGAGCAGTACAGTTGACACACTGGAGGAAAGGGAAGCCACTCAGTGGGGCCTGGACAGGCTGGAGAAGTGGGCCCTTGTGGACCTAATGAGGCTCAACAGGATGAAGTGCAAGGTGTTGCACTTGGGCTGGGTCAATCCCAGGTATTTATACAAACTGGGGGAAGATCTCCTTGAGAGCAGCCCTGCGGAGAAGGACTTGGGTGTCCTGGTGGACGAGGAGCTGGACATGAGCCAGCAGTGTGCGATTGCAGCCCGGAAGGCCAACTGTGTTCTGGGCTGCATTAAAAAAGGGGTGGCCAGCAGGGAGAGGGAGGTGATTGTCCCCCTCTACTCAGCTCTTCTGAGGCCTCATCTGGAGTACTGCGTCCAGGCCTGGGGCCCCCAGTACAGGAAGTCCAGAAGAGGGCCACTAAGATGATCACAGAGCTGGAGCATCTCTCCTATGAAGAAACGTTGAGGGAACTGGGCTTGTTTAGCTTGGAGAATAGACGGCCCTGGGGAGACCTCATTGTGGCCTTCCTGTATTTGAAGGCAGCATATAAACAGAAGGGAGAATGACTGTTTAGATGGGTGGATAGTGATAGGACAAAGGGGAATGGTTTTAAACTAAGATGGGGAGGTTTAGGTTAGATATTAGGAGGAAGTTTTTCACTGAGAGGGTGGTGAAGCACTGGAACAGGTTCCCCAAGGAGGTTGTGGATGCCCCATCCCTGGAGGCATTCAAGGCCAGGCTGGATGTGGCTCTGGGCAGCCTGGTCTAGTGGTTGGCAACCCTGCACATAGCAGCGGGGTTGAAACTCAATGATCACTGTAGTCCTTTTCAACCCAGGTTATTCTATGATTCTATGAAGATCACTAGGGCTATGAATGATATTAACCAACTGCGTAAGGTTTTGCATAATCAGGACAACATACATAAATACATTAAAAAAAAAAAAATCCATCATGTATATATTTCGTCTCGCATTAGTGTGAATAAGAGAAGAATATAGTTTTACAGTGCTTTATTAAATGAGATCTGCCTCAAGTAAACACAGCTTTGGAGGAGAAGGAAGAATTTCCAGGTAGTCCACACAGAAGTGGAATATGTGCAGTAACATCATGACTTTCTTTTGCCACGTGAACATTTTAGTCACAGAATTTCCAAAGTCATTTCACTTCTTCATAGCATGTTTGCCTGCAGCTGAGGCCTATAAGTTGTATATAATTGTAAAATCTGAGAAATTCTTTCAAACCTACTCAGTGTAAGAGAGATAAGGTTTCTACTGTGGATTTCTTGCGAATAAATATAGTGTTGGTGGCTTTTAGATTTTGATCAGCTACATTTCTCTGAATTAGCAATTAGCAACTAACTTATGGTGTTGCATTCTACAACATAGATTAATAAAAGAAAGGTCATGTACTATGCTCCACATATTTAACATATGCTGATGCCTGTAACCGATCAGCGGCTGACTAACCTGATTAATTTCCATGGTTTCATTCAGCTTCACTCTTGAAATTCCTGTGGTCTGCTGAGCAAATAAAAAATATCCCAAATTTAAAACATGACCACCATGAGAGGTTTCCAAGAGATCAGACTTTTTAATAAGATATTTGCTGTTCATAGGACCAAACATTATGTAATTCAGAAAAAAAATACTTCTACTGAGAGCAGATCATGTGCTGTGGGGAAGCCTTGTTACAGAGAGAATTAAATAAAAAGCCCCATATTAAAATGAATCAATAAATTTTGGACAAGAAAAATATTAGAGTAAATACTACACTGATAACAAAAAGTATACTATGTTATTGATGATAGACGTGCTTACAGATAAATCAAGACAGAAAAGTAGAATTAAAACAGGAAATTTTGTCTTCATTCATTTATAGATTTTATAAATCAATGTATAGATTTTTCAGTTTCATTTATAAACAATTGAAATTATGAATTTCAAGCACAAAATTAGAATAAACTTTTGATCTTCTATATTCTGAAAGCCACATAATCAGCACTCTTCCTCTGCCTATCCAGGTATTTCCTTCAAGGAGAAAAAGTTTTCTTGTTATGGGGGATAAAACAGTACCACTTAACATAGGCTAAGCACTGCCTAAAATAGAAGAATATTGATAAAGAGGAGCTCTAAAGGTGCACTCATGTTCACTGTATGAAAATGTTTAAAGTTATCCTCTTTGCAGTGTCTTCTTCAAATATATTAGTTCCTGAAGATTTTTAACTCACATTGCTTACTATATTTTATTTTTGTTTTACAGAGAAATGGTTAATGCATGGTTTGCTGAGAGAGTTCATACCATCCCTGTCTGCAAGGAGGGGACCAAGTCTCAGAGTGAATCCTGTGCTTGTCACCAGCCTGCCTGCCCTGAGACCACCAACTCTGGAACACCAGCAAGGAAAATCTCTGCTTCAGAATTTGACAGACCCTTAAGGCCGATTTTTGTCAAGGACTCGGTAGGAGCAGTAAGCTTCCTTTCTGGCTCTGAAAAGAAGGAACAGATGCCTCTGCAATCTCCAAGGACTGGGACCAGTGCAGGGGATCGGTGCTCAAGGCTTTTGGAACTTGTGAAAGACATTTCTAGTCATTTGGATGTCACAGCACTTTGCCATAAAATTTTCCTACATATCCATGAGCTTATAGCTGCTGATCGCTATTCCCTGTTCTTGGTCTGTGAGGATAGCTCTAACGAGAAGTTTCTTGTAAGCAGGCTGTTTGATGTGGCTGAAGGTTCCACCCTAGAAGAAGCTTCAAATAACTGCATTCGCCTGGAGTGGAACAAGGGCATCGTGGGCCACGTAGCTGCTACAGGCCAGCCTCTGAACATCAAGAATGCATATGAGGTAAACCAAGAAAACCTGTCATGAACTATTGCTGAAACTAGAAACAGTCATATTATCAGCTGATGTAATATTGTCATTTTAGTATAAGTATTTGGAGCTACACTGACATACACCAGTCAAGATGGAAAGCAGACAGTAAACTTCCAATTATAATACATGTATTACATACATACACAGACACAGAAACTTGGAGCTATGACTAATGCAACTGGAATTATAACTTCCAAATAAATTATTTAACTTTGTCATTATTTTCAGCCTTAACCATTTATGTGCACATTACTATTTGCACTTCTAGCTTTGAACAAGAAAATGTTCAGGTTTCTGTACCAAAATGAATGAAATTATGAGTGTAATTGTCTGCAAAACTACAGTCCTACAACAGAAAACAGTTTTGAGGATTTGATTGTATCTGAGGCATAAAGAGCAGGAACAGAACAAATAAGACTAGGATGAGGGTTTGAACTGTATAGCAGTCTTCCAAATAAAATAAGATTATCATTTGCCTAATTTAATACAAGGCTAGATGAAAAAAAGGAAGGGAATCCAGAAGTGGGAGAAGATTTCTCTTACACCTCATCTTAACATCACTTATTTCCAGAATCTTTGGATATGTTTATTTTGTGCTTTGAATTTAGAGGTGACGGAAATTTATTAAATTTATTGATTGATACAAATATACAGAGATAAAAATGAACACTTCTGATCGATCATGTCTTGGTTACTCTGAGCATGGTTATAGAATTGGGTACCATTACCAGTAGTATTTTTCAGAAGCTACAAGGAGTGCAGAATGATTGCATATGTTGTTTTAATTTTCAAGAAACTCAAAAGGTACCTAAACATTTGTTAATTACACTATTTCAGTGGGACTTTACTTATCCTTATATTTTAAAAGTTTCTCCTTGAATTGGGTCATTGTGCTCAATTTGAAATAAATTGCTAGAGAAAAGACAGCAGCCTTTAGAAGTAGATAGGTTTAAAAAAATCAAGGCTTTATAACAACATTCAGCTGAAAAAAAAAAAAGATGCAACAGAGTAAGGCAAAAAGACTAACAATCTTCATGAAACTTTGTTTTTCTGTGGCCACATGTCTTTCTGAATATTTTCTGTAATTTCCTCTTGATGATAAAAGCTGTATTGGAGATACATGCATAAATTAATTATAATGATGGTCTAGACTGAAGAAAGGCTTCTTCTGGCAGTTTTTTTTTGCTCTGTCTGGCAACTGTATTTATCCACTGGCACTCATGATACACTTTTTTTTCCTTTGAACACACAGTTAGTAACAACTTTGATTATTAAGTAGTAATGGAACCTTTGCTAACCTATATAAAAGTTAATTCAGATATCAGACTTTTTCAACCTTTTAAAAAGGAATGTATTCAAATAATTATATTTTTCTCTTGTATCAGGATCCGAGATTCAATGCAGAAGTTGACCAGATCACAGGGTATAAGACTCAGAGTATTCTATGTATGCCAATAAAGAATCATAGGGAAGAGGTAAGTTGCAGAATTAGGATCACTTTCTGTAACACAGTTTCTTGCTATGCCAGTTCTTTAAACTTTTCTTAACTGCCAATCATTATCTTACAGCTTAAAACTATCTCTTTCTTAAAAAGACCTTGTGCTTATGATTGCCTGGACTTCAATTTTTTCTTATCTAGCTCAGTAACATAAAACAAATGGAATTGTCAAGAGGCAGAAGTAGAATATATATATATATATATAATTCCAGATGTGCCATTCATTGTTCCTGTATGTAGAATCTGTCAGCATTCCAATTCTCTGCATATTTATTGGTCTTTATCAGCACACTCTCAGATTGCAGTTAAGAGTTAGTGTGCTTCAACTTGGATTGTATCTAGATTATGTTCATCACAGGACACTAATTGTTTAATTGTTTTTATCATTGTTAGATTCTGTTAACTCTGGTCATTAACAATAAATTTAGAACCACATTAAGTGCTTAAGACCAGGCATTGAAAATATGTGGTGTTTATATAATTCAGAGAAATCTCTATTAAGTTATTGTCCTGGTTTGGGGGGGATAGAGTTAATTTTCTTCCTAGTAGCTGGTACGGGTCTATGTTTTGGATTTAGGATGACAGTAATGTTGATAATACACTGATATTTTAGTTGTGGCTGAGCAGTGCTTACACTAAGTCAAGGTCTTTTCAGCTTCTTGCACAGCGCTGCCAGAAAAGGTTTTGGGGCACAAGGAGCTGGTAGGGAACAGAACCAGGGCAGCTGACCCAAACCAGTCAGAAGGATGCCTGATACCATACGGCGTCATGCTGGGCAGTTAAACTTGGGATAGATGGCCAGCAGGAGTTGCTGCTGCTCAGGGACTGGCTGGGCATTGATCAGCGGGTGGAGCAATTACATTGTGCATCACTGTTTTTGTATATTCTTTTATTGTTATTATTAGTTTCCCTTCCTTTTCTGTCCTATTAAACTGTTGTTATCTCAACCCATGTGTTTTCGTTTTTCTCCAATTCTCTCTGCTGTGGGGGGAGTGAGCAAATGTCTGCATGGTGCTTAGCTGCCTACTGGGTTAAACACAATGTTCATCTAACTTAAAGTGAAATCACTCTAAAATAAAATGTATCTGCTTGTTGATCTCTTGAATGCATTTCCCATCAATGCTAACTATCACAGAAGTTCTCCCTTTGAATATGATGCTATTGCAGTAGGGAGAATTCTTATTATGAAATTCTTATAATGTCTTCTTATGCTGAGATATTCAAGAATGAATTCAGTAAAGACAAAGAAATCATAAAACTGGAATTGAAAAAAAGACAAGATCCATTTTCTTACCTGGGGAGGTAATTTGTATTTCTTTTTTGTTTGTTTTTTGTTTTGTTTGGTATTTGATCCTGAATGTAATAGCCCTCAGCCACCATAGTGGAAGACTCTTGACAGAGTGCACCAGGGATTTAAGATGGAGATTTTCTCTCCCATATTTCCTTTGTTTTTCAGACTATTAGTTCAAAGTCCTCAAACTCCAAGAACAAATTCTGCAAAGATTATTTTGAAGATACTAAACTACCTTTTTCCTTGCTCTTCCATTTTTTCAAATCCTCCTACGAAGTACGTCACGCTGACTGACACATTATTAAATAAACTGATTAAGCTCTTGATTTAGCTGATTTGTTGAACCTTACTCTAACTAACCCAGACAATCAGCCAGAATTTCCTTTCTTTATCTACCATAAACTTTGGTTTAAAATATTATTCCAATACTTTCAAGGAGAGAGATTGAAACTGGCTTGAGTTGATAGTGCCTCACGGACTAGTCTTGCTCTCCTGCTCTCATGCCCACTTAAAAGCCTCCCCTGTTCCAGCCTACAGCAGCCACTGCTGGCCCTAAGCCAGCTGACAAGCAAATCAGATGTTGTACGAAGGGCATACAGAGAGCAGTGCTCCATGTCAAACTGATGTAAGGTTTTAAATTTCATCTATGCCATCCCATTTTCCTTGTTCTCAAATGGAAAAAAGTCTGTGTTCTCCTGTAATTGCAATCAGAAATGAATTACAAGGCCTTGCAAGTCAGAGAACATGAAAGTGCCAACTTCTTATTGGGTCCTCATGGTGAATGGAGGACAGAACAGGACTTGTGTTTGTTGGTGAAATATGCCATGACTTACAGGCTGAATAAACCTGCAATTGGCCGTATCTTCTGTTAGGTTTCTACTCCTAAGTGCATCAGCAAATGGAAATGAAGCAGATATGTATTTATTTTGAAAGCTTCAGCCAACATGAATTTTGTGGAGAGAGTTACACTCACTCTTACATGCAATAATTTGAAGGAGCCAAGCTGGAAGATTTCTGCTAGGAAAGGATAACACTTTTTCTTTCCCTTCTGATTTTAAAGTCTCTACCAGAAGGTTTTTGTCCCTCTCACTGTAACAGTTTGCTGATATGCTTCTGGACAGATGTCGGAGTCAGTGAAACAGTCTTTAGCTTGCCATCTGCTTTTTGAGGGAAAAAAAGAAAAAAAAAAGAATACTGTCTCCTCCCTGTAAAAACTAAGTAAGTAAATAAATTCCCAAGGCCCCTCTAGAAATACTGAAGCTAGTGAATGCTTCCTTAGCCCACGTCAGCAATCGCAGTCAGAAGATAATTCTGGAAGACTTCCAAAAATAAACACTCAGAATGAGAAGCAAATGTGTCTTTTTTTGTTTGTTTGTTTAGTATTGGTATTCTTTTTTAAAACAAAGGAGTCATTAATTCAGGAAAAAAATCTCATGTTGATTATTAAATCCTCTGGGCCTGCTGAAGTATGGAGATTTTTCCAGTAGATGTTTTTCACATTTTCTTTTATTTCCATGAGGCATGTGAGAAACCAACGTCTTACTTAAAAATAACTACTAATAAGAAATTCCATAGATGAAAAGAAGAAAACAGTTTGATTCACAGTAGAGCTCATAAAAAGGACCCAGCACTAGTATTAATCTTGCCAAGAGAAAAGTAGTAATGTATAAGTCTGTCTGCACAGATGCACTGAAGAATGGAAATACATTCACTTGATAGTAGAACGTTTAACGTTTTTCATTCCCCTGCTCAATCTACTCTTGCTGACAGAAATGCCACAGAAACATTACATTACATCCTGTGATCAGATCACAGATGCTTGTATAGTGCTAGCTTTGTAAGGAGTTCTCATTTGCTCATAAAACAAATGATACAAAATGATCAAGCTTTGTTTCAAATTCAGGGGCTTTGATCAAAGTCCTGAAACCTGTAAATCAGTACTGTGGAGTGACTGTCTAACAAATAAATGGAAATTCTGTCCATCTCATGATATGCCAAAAGTATTGCCACATGATGCTTTGGGGCAGACAAGACTATATCATTTGCTATTTTTTACCTCTGAAGAATCATAGAACCATAGAATTATTAAGGTTGGAAAAGACCTCTAAGATCATCCAATCCAACTGTCCACGTATCACCAATGTTGCCCACTAAACCTTGTCCCTAAGTGCTACATCCACCTTTACCTTAAACACTTGCAGGGACATTGACTCCACCACTTACTTCCCTGGGCAGCCTGTTCCAATGCATTACCAGTCTTTTTGAGAAGAAATTCTCCTTAATATCCAACCTGAATGAGGAATGTGGATGAGGTAGAAAGGCCTTGAATGGGAGTCATTAGGTTAAACCAATTTGTAGAGTTATCCAGAACTGATACAAGGGTCAGTACCGCTCTCTGGTTTGGGATATCTGTAGAATGGATGGTTCCTGACTGGGAGAGTCATCACAACTGGAGTAAAATGTATACAGAAATGACTTCAGTTTCTGCTATTTCTACATTTTTTTTTCTTTCAGTTGTGCAAAGAAATTTCCATAATATCCTATTTTGATTTAATTTCTATTAAAATCTGTAGTATTTTCTCATGTGGGGACTTTTAGTTGTATTGAGAGAGACTTGTCATTCAGGCTCTAGGCCTCAAGTATGTGAGACTGAACTTCCTACTAATTGGAAGGCAACTGTTTTTTTCTGGCAATACACAGTTCAATTGTTTAGTTGTTGTTGTTGTCTTAATTTTCTCTATCTCCTTTTACCATGAAGCTTTTCCAAATACATCAGGGGGATATTCTGTTTACACCAGCCTTTTTAAGTATCCTGATGAACTTTATAAAATGTAACCATGTTAATCTAGTGCAGTGTAGAAATAGACAACTTGACTTGAAACAAACTAACTCTGGTTTCTAGCAGCAGCCTTATGCAGGATTATGGAGAACAGTCATTTGCTTCTTGGATGGATTTTCATCCAAGATGGGATATTTTATAGCAGCTAGACTGCTAGGAATCATGCAGGCTACTGCTGGCAAGAATGATAGAGGATGTGAAAGTTTTTTGATTAAAAATGAAACCCTGTAAACACAAGTCTGTCCTACAGGATAATTTTGTAAACCTGATCAATGTTCTACAAGAGCAGGAGAGCAAACAAAGCTTAAAACCACTTAATTTATCCTCTCATGTTAATATGTCCCATCTTTACAAAGAGATAAAAATTGAGTTTTCCTCTTCCCGTTACCGTTTTTTGGCTTTGCACATTTTTTTTCAGGTGCCAGGAAAAAAAATACATATATTTTTTATTCTGAGGATGCAAAACAGTCTTTTTAAAATCAGCTGAAGTAAGAACAAACTAAAAGGGGCACTGAATCCCTGTAGAGCTGGAAAAGCTTTCACAGAATTAGGCCTGCAGTCTTAATGTACAGAAAACTGCAGCACATTCAGGTAATATTCAGATCACAGTTACCAGGACTGAAGTCGTTAGTTATCATTGGATAAGAAACATTCCAGGAAGCCTGCTACTTCTAGAGGCAGGAGACAACTACTGGAAGAGAGTAGTTAGTAAAAGTAATGCCCTCTGATAATTAAAAGAAATCTCTCCTTGTAATGTGGATCACATCTTATTGAATGGCATAAGCGTTACAGTTAAAGAAGAAAGGTTACAGAACAAGCAGCAGCACTGGAAGATTGCTTGTGTTGCCAGCAGGAATACAATTAGGAGAGCTGTGTTCTGATCTGGAAAAGCAGGTATGGCTATCAACCCAGTAACCGTTAGGTGTTTGTTTTTTATGTCCTTTTTTGAGACTGACAATAAGAACTATTCCATCATCAAAATTGCTTTTGTGTTCATGATATATGCTTGCCTTATGGCATCTGAATAGTAAATTACAAAGTATTTGGTATCTGATCCAAGAGGATTTTTTTTTCTATTGATTTATTGATCTATTGAAAGAAGGCTGGACAAAGGAGTAAGCTCCTTTGTGTACAGCTTATTATTTTCTGCCCACCCCTTTTGCGCTTCAAATACAGCAAACCTGTATTAGAGGATAGAAGGTCTTGCTAGGAGCTGCATGACTGGTATGTGTAACACTCTACCTAAAAGCTCATGAATAAGAGTTTTTAGCACTCACCAGATCACTAGTTACTTTAGGTATTAGGACACAAGATTACAGATATCTAAGTACAAGCAAATAGTGATTACTTTAATGTTTACTCTCCTTCATTCTTGGCTTTCTTCTTTCCATAGCACTTCCTTATAATTTTCTAGTAGTCATCCCCTTTCACAGCTGTTTAAGCCTCTGTTTTCTACTAGTTTTTCCTTGGTTGAACAACAGATACACAGGATAATTCTATAGGCATAGCAAGACAGTGACAAAAAGTAACTATCTTTGATTTAGTGCTACAGCTTTTAAGAAGGTTCATTTAGTGCTTGCTTGTTAAGGAAGAAAGATGAAACAGTGGCTAGGTAATTTAAAAAAAAACATATTTTTGTTAGACTGGAACAGTACATACATCAGTGAATGTTCAAGTGGGCTGTCACTTTTTTTACAGGCTTTCCAGAGAACCATCTTTATCTCTTATATACAGATATGTCTTTTTTATTGCCACAAATATATCACACTTTTATCTGAATAACATTTCTGTATACAGCTTAGCTCATAGTAGTTAATGTCAACCTTTTATTCAAATTTTCTGCCAGTGTGAACATAACTCCCATCTGGAGGAATCAGATCTATGTCATTTCAGATTTATTTATAGTAAGTTTGAAAAATGAAGATTTGGGTTTCATACTATGCTTATTATTCTTTAAAATGCAGGCCTATGTTTGACACAGCCTAAAATGCTATCACTTTTGTCCTAATTACGTAATCATTTCAGTAAAAGGAACAAATCTCCCTGAGTTTTTTACATCTTCTCCTAATTACCCTTTGTAGCCAAGACTCCAACTGGTAACTAGTACAATCATAGTATCATTAAGGTTGGAAAGACCACTAGGATCATGTAGTCCAGCTATCAACCCATCACCACCATACCACCATATCATGTCACTCAGTGCAACACCTACACATTTCTCGAACACCTCCAGGGACCATGATTCCACCACCTCCCTGGGCAGCTTGTTCCAATGCCTCACCACTTTTTCTAAGAAGAAATTTTTCTTAATACCTAACCTGAATAATACACATCTCAGTGAAATTCACTTAAATTTGTACTGGTATAAATACAATTCAGGCCAGAATTTGAGTCAGTTTAATTTTATAATGTGCAATTTTATATGCAAAAGATGCTCATAAAACAAGGTTCTCCTTAAAAGCTTAGAATGTTACTGAAAAATGTATTCTTTTTGTCAATATTTTTTACAAAAAAAAAGCACTTTATACAGTTTGTCTTTTGCATGAAATTGTTATTATCAAGACAATTATGAATTTTAATATGTTTTCTCTCCTCAGTATTCTTTTCCCCTTCTATTAAAAGCTTTTATTGGAAGGACTTAACAAAGACAAAAAATGACCGTTTCCATTGGAACACAAGCTTTTTTTAATTTGTGAGAAAACTGCAGGCTAATGAAGGGAGGCTAAATAGTCTTTTTCTGGTACTAATACGGTGCTGTTACTGTTTCCTTTTAGTTTTAAGCATGTCCAGCTTTCCTTTCATTGTGGGGGAGATGTTTACACAAGATGAAATTACTCACCTTTAAGAGCCTCTTAACTCATTAAAATTGTCTTCCTTCATGCTGGACCAAAGCTGGAAAAAGAAAAAGAAAAAAATGAGAAACCCAGAAAAGATAGCAGTAGGAGAAAAGGCCTAAGCGTTAGTCTTTCCACATGCAAGTAAATGTAAAAGCATATAGATTTATTAAAGGATTTGCTTACAGTTCAGAGCTTGCTGTAGAAATAAATATGGCAAGTATATTGTTATTACAGTGAGAATGTTCTCTAGATAACAAATCGTCACTGAAGTAAATGAGAAGTTGACTGTGGGAGGGCTTGCATTGTATGGAATGGACATGACAGCTGAGCTTTATTTCAGACAGACATTTTTGAGCCCACGGTTGGCAGTGACTCATGCTGCAGAACAATGACCTTACTTGTAGCATCAGTATTTTGGGAATGCTGGTGTGAGAGACAGTAAACTGTTGTCTTTTCCATTACAAAAATATAACTGCATGACCTCCTTCAGTTTAGCAGTTATAAATTTCATGAGTAACACATAAATACAGCTTCTTAAAGACACACAACATACTTTTCTCCTGGTATCGTTTATTCTAAAAAAGTAAGATGAAAATACTACTGTCATTAACAACTTGAAATGGTCTTGTATTACTTCAATCTCAAAGCAATTTTTTTCAAAACTTATCTTTAAGTAAATACTTACAGTAACAAACTTGATTCTGGCAGGTACCCAACCTGTGTATACTGTTTTTCAAATTCTATCTGAACAGTTTCAGAAATAAATAGAAAGCAAAAAGATCACAGTAGAGAGATTTTGTAAGAAGCCTACAGTAAGAAGGGGAAGGTTTTGGAAACTTCATCAGAGCTAGCAGGAAGGGTAGGTTCTACACACAAAAGTAGATGACAATTTCAGAAGTATAAACCACTGCTGCCCTTGTGTGAGATGATTGCTTCACTTTATAGAATAAGTCTTGGATCAAACCAACCGTTCTTCATAAGAGCATCCAGGACTTTTTGCCACTGTTTTTCTTTCTGATAAGTCAGGTTCATGCTCAGAAATTTGTAATACAAATAAATTAGAAATAAACAGGTTTAAATGCAAAGGTCAACCAAAGGAATACATGTAATTATCATTTATTTTCATGTATGTCTAGGAGTACCACAGTGGAATGACAGACTTCTCAAAAATGATCTAATTCTTTCATTTTTAATACACTAGGTTGTTGGTGTGGCTCAAGCAATTAATAAGAAATCTGGAACTGGTGGGACTTTCACGGAACAAGATGAAAAGGTATAGAAGCTGGACATTTATGTCTCTGTTTTCATAAGAGAGCTGGGGTTGAATATGTTACTACTTTTCACACTGATCAGACATTTTAAAGTTATGAAAAATGAAACACCTCTAACAAGAAAATTCTTTGTTATATTGCAGAGTTTTTTGCTTGTCAAGCCATGAGAAAAGTAGCTGGGATGTAGTTTAATTTCTCGATCAGAAAGATACCTCTCATATGTCTCTGAAACACAGGTTTACTCTACTGAAATACACTGTAGAACCGTTTCATAGCTTATAATAGACATAATCTTTTATGAACTGATATTAACTTTCCTGGCATTCCCAACAATATGTATTTTGAATATTAAAATTTGTCTAGTGATTATTTTTTAAATTTTTAAATTTAAATTTTTAAAGAGAAAATTATAAATATATGAGATAATCAGAAGAAGAGATGGCAACTTGACTCCCAGTTCTCACACAGTAGTTGCTTTCCAGACATTTCTGGAACTCACTTTAAATTTGCATAGCAAAAAAAGTTGAAGAAGATGATTCAATAATAGTCAATAAAAAAATCAGAATTTACTCTTTCCTTTTGAAAATTTCCCCATTAAAAACAAAATGCATACAGAGTATCTGCAAGATATCACAATTAATCACATTCAGAAACTGAAAAAAAAACCTTGTGGTTTTGCTATGTTAGCAGAATATTCCATTTCCCCATAATAACAGATGCTGATTGTCTGTACTATGTTTTTCTAGGTAAAATCTGTATTACTGCAAAATGACTTGATTCTTATTCCAATCCTACTTTCACCAGGATAAACTTGAAAGACTATTCTTTCAAAAAAGGGAGAAGAGATTCTTGAGGAAAAAAAGTATGAGTGACTGAAAAAAACCTATTCAGGTTTTTTGCCAGAAATATCTTTAAATATCAATTAATACTTCAAAGTGAAAAAATGTAACAGTTGATCTTTGAATAAAGCTAAGAAGCTGAGAGACTCTATCTTCATCAGAAGCTTATGTTTATTTGTCTATAGGATTTTGCTGCATATTTGGCATTTTGTGGAATTGTTCTTCACAACGCTCAATTGTATGAAACATCTTTGCTTGAAAACAGGCGTAATCAGGTATGATCAACAGGTTTGTCCCCAAAATACAAAAATTATAGTTAGCTAGAAATCAGTGCATTCTGCTGTTTTCTTCTCATGTGGCAGATGTTTCTTGGCAATTTTTAATTTCTCTCATTGAATACTATGCATAATACTATGTCAATATACTAAATGTTGCCTGAAGTTATCCTGTTGCTCACTGTGTATATTACACAACCAGATGCTTCAGATGCTTCCGTACTCCAGAAATTACAGGTAAAATTATCCATACAAAATTGTAGAGGTTATACAAATTGCTCTTTTAGACTCCTACAACTCTAAATAGTCACTAACAATATTTTCCATAATGATCAGACAGGAAATAGAATTTTTTTTTACTCTGTAGCCATCTATATAATTGATGGTTTATTAATGCCATGGTCTCTATGGGTGGAGTATGTCTATCCAATATGGTATGAAAAGGTTTTGGAGAAAAAATTAGGCAGCAGGTCTTTTAATAACTTTCTAGTAGGTCTGAGTTTCCAAGTGAATATCAGTGTTTGTAAATTGGTACACATTTGGATAATCTTTTCAAATTGGTTCCATGCTTCCTGTGGAGATAAAGGGAATATAATTTGCTGACATCTGAGCAGCAGTCCTTCAGCAACAGCTTTGAAATATGACAGCCTGTGTCTAAATGATGTTTTTACCAAATGAGCTCATTAGGATTTGTTTGAATTACCACAAATAATTGTGTTTGAAAGTCTTAAGTAATTTAAATATCACTGTTGAAATTCTTATAATGCACACATGAGCCATAGGAAATTATTAGGTTTCCTAAGGGCAAATTAGAGTTTGTGGTCTGGACTTCTCAAATTTCATTTGATCAACTGTTAATGCCCAAATCTACTCTGTCTTTCCAACTGAAAACATCAGACAGCTAAGTATGCTATCAATTTCTTTCATCAAACATGTCAAACTGGCTTTTAATTACTGCTGCTTTGCGGTCTGTATGAGAGCCAAAGCTTAATCTTTGTCACAGATGTACGTGTTGACTTCGTTGGTCCAGGGAATATGGGAAGAATCATACTGAGTAGTAAATGTAATTATTGCTTTCATCACAGCTAGTCAAATTTTCACAAAGACCTGTTTTACAGGTGCTTCTTGATCTTGCCAGCCTTATTTTTGAAGAACAGCAGTCTTTGGAAGTAATTCTGAAGAAGATAGCTGCCACAATAATATCCTTCATGCAAGTGCAGAGGTGTACCATCTTCATAGTGGACGAAGATTGCACTGTGAGTAGGATTTTTTTATTTAAAGGCAGAAGAGCTTATTCCCTAGAGAAGGTATGAACAGCCCATAGGCTGCAGAAAAGGAGAAGGATTTTATTTTGTAATAATCTCTCACTATATTTAAGAGAGTCACTCCTGAATACAACAGTACAGAAGAAGAATTTACATGATGCATGCATTCACATAGTCACACTCTCTCTGCAAGTCAACAAAACTCCAGCACTTACTTTTCAGTCTGTAGTTTGAATCTTTAGTGCAGAGAGAATCTAATTTCTCCCTGCAATTAGGATTCTCAATTGCAGGAAAAAGAAAAAGAAAAACAAAAACAAACCTATGTGAAAAGCAATACAGATTTGTTGAAATGCTTAGAAGGCATTGATGTCTTCATCTCCACAAGCGAAGTAGATATTATGTATTCTTGGTGCATTCACTTGGATGAATGTTCAAATCTGGAACTTCCAGAGACAGGCTGTACAGCTTATATACTGGCATTTCTTCTCAGAGTGATCAGTAGAAATTCAAGATACTTCAGTGATATTAAAAATTATATATTTTTGTCATAGGATTCTATATTGTTGCTGCTTGATATGAAATGAAGTTGAACAATTTTATATCTACATTTATTACAGAAGATATGTTGATAAGAGCAACATGCTTTTCACATGAATACTACTACTCTAAGCTATTATATCCACATCTATAAATTATAATATCCTCTTGTTTTTTCAGGATTCATTTTCTAGTGTGTTTCATATGGAAGCTGAGGAATTAGAAGATTCAGCAGAAAATCAGAAGAGGTAAAACAATGAAATTAAGCTTTTGTTAACCACCGGAAAATGTTGAAGAAATTATGTTTTTAATATTATTTTTCATAATAAAGAACCTGTGTACTATTTCATCCCACCGGCTACCACATATTTCTACTATCTATTGTGGAGCAGATCTATCCTGAAACATACTTAGACAAATAGTCACATCAAGAAGTCTAGGCAAACAAGGCCTGGCCTCTTCACTTTTTCAAGTCTAAAGTTCATTTTTAGAACTCAAGGGTAGGCTACAACTCAAGGAATATGACTGACAGAAAAAGAAAAGTCATAAAGTTCTAACTTCCAGTCACCTTCAAGATATGACTAGGAATTTAAACTGGGAGGAAGAGAAAGATGTAAAAATAAATGAATTCAAATATTCAGATTACATAGTTGGCAAAATTTAATCTGAACCTCTCTATATTAAGTTTTGAAAATTAACTGCCTCCATAATCTGTCATCACAGGCAGTTGATACCAATAGTGCCAGAAGAATGAGACACAGTCCTATCAAAAATACAGTACTACAGATGCCACGTCCAGAGAGAAAATTAAAATTTCCATACCTTTGATCTTTTTTTAGTGAACATTTCTGATACGAATTACATGCATTTGAAAATGAACTCCAAAGTGTGTAGCAAAAGCAAATACCTCTCAAACTGTATTGAGATGTTAGACAATGTACAGTGATAAAGTACATAGGTACAAAATAGTCATAAGATCACTGGATAACTGTTACATAAAGAGACAGAATTCACCTTCCTCTTTATTATCTTTTTTCTGGTTACTAGTTGATGTACTCAGAACTTAATTTACTGCTTGCATGGACTGTCAATCATTTTTTTCTCATAATTGATAAGGAGGGACAGCTAGAACCTTAGCTGCGTATCTGAATTTTGCTCATGAAACAGCACAGTTACATCTCATGGACTATGAGTCAGCCACTGGAGTTAGAACTGGTGCTTTGTTTTAAGGTCACATTATCAGGCAATAGAAGAAATCTAACTACATGGATTAGATGGGAAGATATAATTTCAGGCTTATTACATAATCAAGGACCCTGAATCAAGCCCAAATCAGACAAGTGTTCAGAACTGTGGGGTACTGCCTTATATAACCAAGTTGGTGAAATAATGAAAGAATAATTTTCTCTCTTTAGCACCATGAACATCTTTTGCAAGTGCACTTGCACCAGAAGGATAACTAAAGTCAAGTCAAATGTCAGAGTAAACTGTAGGAGCTTGATGATAATATGTGCATTACTAGGACATACGCCCTCCTCTAATGCTGGCAATGTGTTCTGATTGAACTCCTCTAATTAAAAACTTAATGTCTACAAAAGCAGGAGATGATTGATCTTGTGAAGGTATTTTATGACCCAATTTGGAAAAAAACATCTCTATTCCAATAGCAGAATCCCCATGCTTATTGCTCTTTTAGAACAAATTTGAAATAAACTTTGACATAGAAACATCACAGATATTACCAACTGCACTCAGTCTAAAGAATATCCATGTCTCATACAGTACTGATTTTTCAGGTGTGTCAGATTTGCAAATAGTTTGTTTTCAGAGTTGTTTATTTCAATGTAAACCCAGTTGCTTATTCTTTGTCTTTCACCTGCATGTCCTGTATTATTTCTTAAGTTTGATGTTTGGTGATAAAATTTTGGAATACTGAAGAAATGATGCAGTGTATAAATTAATTCTCCCAGTCATTTTGCAATGACAGATGGATTAGTGTACAGGATTTGAATTTAGTTCCACTATAATGCTGTTGCTTATATCTTTCTTGGCCCTGTATATGAAGGATATTTACAATTACTTGCTTTGCATAATGAAATGATTTGATGTCACACTAAGCATATAAAAATAATATTGCATCTTTCAGGGACTACGATACAAACAAAATCAATTATATGTATGCTCAGTATGTCAAGAATACAATGGAGCCTCTCAACATCCCAGATGTCTGTAAAGACAGAAGATTTCCCTGGACAGTAAGTAAAATAACCTTAGATTTGTAATTCAGAAATGAATTTTTCTTTTCTGTTTACCTTTCAAATCTTTCTTGCTTTTCCCTTAGTTTTTTTTCGTTGTTGTTTTGTTTGTTTGTTTGTTTGATTATTTTGTTTTTTGTTGTTTTCTTTTTTTCTAATTTAATGGTCACACAATGCTGCAAACACAAAGAGACTTACAACCTTTGCTTTATAAAATTCATCATCAGTGCAGAAATAATACAGTACTCATAAAGTGGGCAGGGTATCTCTACAGCCGTTATTTTAAAAGCTTAGCATTCATTTGTGAATGATGTGGAGAGCTTGCAATACATTCCTTGGAAAGCATTTAAGTGAAGAACAGTTGGAGGTTTTCATATTAATCCTCTGTAGCTTATTGTGATTGTCAGGACGCTCTAAGAAGTTCCTTCCCTTTTATTCTCTCCCTTCCCTACTTATCTTGGCAAAGATTAATGATATGCATGCAAGTTCTTTGCTGTTTTGGATAAGCAATAACTGCACTTTTTTTTTCTGGAAGTTTTTGCTTTACACTTCATCAGACACATGCTCATGCCATGATGTACTACGGAACTTATACTGCCAGTGCCAGTAGGGAAGCCACTTGGCAAGACTCAGATTACAGTCATGGGTGCACTGGAAGTTGTTGTCCATACAATGCAAAATTGTAATTCTGTGTTTTCCTCTTGAAAGAAATTCTTCTTACGATAGGCCTGTAAGCTGGGGAGGCTCAGGGAAAGAGTAAGAGGGAGAAGTTTTTATGGTGTTGAGCAGGTTTTTACTTTGTTCTGAATCACACAACCAAGAGTTCAGAAAGTACAACGTTGACTATGTTTGTACCAGTATGTGGGTAGGAGGAGCAGCATCATGGTGGGGAGCTATGTTGCTTCCCTTATTCTCTGTGCAAGGTTTCACTGATGTTCTGGAGTAGGCTTTTATGAAGGACAAAGCAAAAAAAAAAAATTGAGTGCTCGCCATAGCACAGGATCCAAAGTTATCTTACTGCAGGAGTGGAAGAAAAAAAAGAATTGCATGGATATACTACATGAGATCATTAAAGACATAAGCAACTATTTTGAAGACATTTTAAAATACATAAAAGAATACCGAATACTGTCTGAAACAAAACTTTCTCTTTGTCAGAGGAGTTAAATTCTTACACATTTTCCCTGGAATCTAGATGATTTACACATTATGCATGTGAAAGAAACATAAAGAAAATAATGTTTTTTTACACAGCAACAGTGGCTGCATCTCTACCGCAACATAAGAGAAATCTGAAGGCTGGACTGTAGGCAAAATCTTTTTAAAGCTGACAAACCATGGCATGAGGAAAATCCCAGGTGTACCTAGTAAACTAAAAATGCTGACTTGCCTCTTTCTTTGGAGAATGTTCAACAGTTCACTTACTCACTTTACAAAAAGGACTTTGTGCTTTCTAAATGAATTGGCAGCCAACGTAGTGACATGAGGCAGAAAACCAGTATAGGTTCCTTCACAGGAGAGCCCTAATATTGCCTGCCTTGGGTCCAGTACATACTAGGACAGTAAGTAAACCAGCAGCCATGCATCTTTGTTTTCCCATGAACCAACAAAGCTAGAGTAGTGGAGATAAAGTTCAAATATCTCCAACACTCCTGGAAGCCATTTATGCCTGTTCTTGTTTAGTCTCCTTCTTTTTCATTAATACTGGGTCAAATATTTTTTTTAAGCACTGTGAATTCTGTTCTTATCTCACTCCATACAAGTTTGAGTTTCAGTGCATTTGAACTTTACCGTAAAACAGCAGGTTCTTATTAGGGTAGCCTTAAACCAATTTTCATGCCAACTTGATTTAATGTTTCTCAATTGCCTCTGCTGGAGAGGTCTAGGGAGAGATGCTGGCTCTTACCCTTTTACAGCTGATTACACATGTACATCTTTTTAGACGAAAGTACAGAAACCAGTAAATCATAGTCTTGAGTTATTCCATCTATCCTTCTGATAATGAGCTACCAAATATTAAATTCCCATAGTCATGTAAAGTATCCATCATGACATAATCCTTAATATTTTCTTCAGATACTCATACTTTCTATTCCAGTTACAGGCAATATAGCTTTTGTGCATTCGCTTGCAAAGAAAGCTTTCAATCTCTTGCAGAGCACAAAATAGCAAAGCAAAAGTAGTAAAAACAAACAAACAATTCACCAAGCCCTTTGATCTGAAATATTGATGTGTGCACATCTTTTGTGCCACATACAATTAGAGATTGACCCTAATTTACTTCTCGGCAACTGCCGCATTATTCTAGAACTAAGAAGAGCTACAGAACAAAACTAGGTCACTTTCGCACGAGAAATTTGAAAAAGATGCCTTGTCATTTTGTTCTACCCATCCACATTTTTACTTCACAAATAAATTCAGTGTCCTTGTCTTGGAGCATGAAACAAACTGATAGCAAAATATACCCAACCTAGCAATGATAAAAGCTCTTTGGAAGACTGCAGGATGTTGACCTACTTGGAAAACTGGGCATTCTTCGGATCATAATTTGGTCTTCACCAAGGCACCTTTCATTGCATTGGTGGGTTAATTAAGTCATCTCAAACAAACCAAAAGGGTTTACAGAAAGTTTAGTGTCACAAAATACGCAATTAGCTTATGGCATGAACTCTTCTTTCATAACCTGTATGGCCCTACTGCAAGTACAGGGGAGATGTTAGAAATGGAAGAGATCAGATAATTTCACAGCTCTTTAACTGATGAGAGTACAAAGGTGTCCTAAAGCCCAGTGATCTCTTTTCAGCTGCACTGAGTGAAAAACTTTGTCTTGGAGCAAAATTGTTGTTGTCATGAAAGTGAAGTGAAAGAACCTATTATAAAATTAACACATTTTTAGCATGATGTTGCAAGTCTCTGGAAGGTTTGAATGGTGATTATCATCATTACTTATATTATTTTTCACCAAAGCTTGTAACAGATGTACTGTTTATTACACCATCCAGCCAAAGATGTGCAAACTCTTCAAAGACATGGTTGCTGTCTGAAGGAACATGTGTAAGCCAATAATGCAAACTCTAGCTCTGCATTTTCACTTCAGGTACTTAAACACTGGCCTTAAAAATTTTAACTGTTTGTTTTACTTTGTTTGTTTAACAGACTGACAATGCAGAAAGTGTAAGTCAACATATAAAGAGTTTGCTGTGTACACCAATAAAAAATGGGAAAAAGAATAAGGTGATAGGTAGGTATCTTTACAAAAAATACTTTTACTAAAAATATTTTTGTATATTTCATGGAAATATTTATGTGTTCCACAGTACAATTTCAGCAACAAATGAAGGGCAAAATTCTTAATGTTTCCAGCCAACAAGTCCATTGCAAACATGCCTGTAAATTGCTTACCTTACAAGTAAGCAAGATACTTACCAAGTGTCTACAACAATCTTCTGATACTTCACCATTTTTATAGATTCAAAATACTCAGGTAGCCCTGGTGTGGATCTTCAAAGATGGATAAACATCTGAATCGTTTGGAGGATCTAATCCTAACAGCACTTCAGGGCATATGCTTAATGTGTGTTAAGTCTTTCAGTGAATTTCAGATTCACCTTAGACAAGGGTATAATGATACTTTTGGAAATTACCAGGACCTCCCTGTACCATGGGAACTGGAATGCATGTCAGTGTGCTATGCTGGTAGCAATAAGCTCCACAAAACAGAAATGTAAAATACACTGACTTCCAGACAGAACCATGAATGCAACTTCCTCAAGATTACAGAATTTGGGAAGAAAATCTTCCAAGAGTGCATTTTTAATCATTTTCAAGTAATTGTTGTTGAGAGTTATGACAAAACTACGTAATGAATGTCTATATTAAATATGAGATCCCTTTTCCATGAAGACAGATCTTATTTCCTTAAACAGAAACAGAAGCCTTGTCTTTTCTGAATTGAGTTCCCTGAAATTTTTTTATCAGCTTCTTCAGTGAGTTCTTTTATTACTTTGTTGTATATATTCTATCAGACTCTAGAAGACCAAGATAAAAATTGGACTATTGAGCTTTTATTAGAGATATTTTACTATGCTGTTAACTGCTGATAAAACAGTTGCATCTGATGTCATCTGGAGATTTTTTTTTGCCTGCAGAAGTTCAAGCTTAGTTACAGTCAGGGTACCTCTTTAGGTGGGTTTTTCAAGCCTGAGCAATGGGAAATCATCAAAGTCCTTTAAGGACAGCACAGATAAGCTCAGATCTTTAATAGGACGAGGTCAAAAAGTTTTCTTGGGGGCAATACCCAAAAGTTTCTTTTTCATAATATATATGATATAAGATTATTTTAAGTCTCTCTTTTTTTAAGATTAGTACACCCATTACCAGAACTTGGGGTATGGAATGTGCAGGTGTGGGGTGAGGGTGGGAAAAGCTCTCCACAGCAAAAGCAAGCAAATCTTACTGGAAGAGAGGTGAACTTTTTATTCTCCTGACTTGCACACTTTTCAGGTATGTGGTGAAAACTTTATTGAATCTTTCTTTGGTTTTCTATGTCCCAGTAAAAGAATTTTGAGTTCCTTTAATTCTAATGTATGGACCCCTGAATGCTCTGGTGAATTTTCTGAAATATACCGAAGAATGTACTTGCTGTAGTTGTAGTTGTCGTTTTCCCAGTTTTTTTTTAAGGCATTAATGTTTATCCAAATTCTTTGTCTTCTAAGAATTCATTTGCTTTTATGGCTTACTTGGTTGTGTTTGTTACATCACCGTTGCTATGGAAATAATTATAAAATTATAAACAGTACTAAAGAGAGATCTGAAAGTAAGTTCCATGAGATTTTCCCTGAGTTTTATAAGTTTACTTCTTTTTCCCAGGGAAAGATAATCTTGTTTTTGGTCAATCCTTATTCTCTAAAATTATATATTTTTACTACCAACTAAGGATCTACCAATCCATTAAGTCAGAATCCTGTTTGCAATATTCAGATACCACAATGCCTGCCCAATGGTTCACAATTACAGCTGTAATATTCTTATCTCTTTAGAGGAATCTGATACTAAAATAACAGTTCCCTGAAGAGAACATGATTTGAAAATAGGTCAGTGTTCATATATTGCCATTAGACATTAAAACTTCTACATGCAAGGCCACTGTTCTTCTAAAAACATAGTTTAAATGTGTGCATAACATTCTTTTTCTCCTTTTTTCTGTCTACTGTAAAAGGGCAGATACAAACTTGCTCCCTCACAGACTGTATATTTCTTTCAATTAAAAACCTTAGTGAGGTTTCTTAGTCTGTAAATTTAGAGTATTACAATCCTAGAAATACTTCCATATATATTAAAAAAAAAAAACAAAAAACAAAAACAAACAAACAGTAGCGTTGATAAGACCTTAGAGGAGCTGCTGACAATGTTCAATATTGGGACTGCTGTAAAATAGTATTAATTATAATTTCATCCCTATCTACAAGCAGAAAGCAAATCCATCTTCTCTGGCCTTATGGTGGCAAAGTGTAAGGCATTCAGATTCTGTTCACATAGCCTATTTAAATTAAACGTAGCTTTGCTAGAGCAAGACAGCCTGAAAGTTGGTTATAGTGTTTTGGAAACATCACACTAAATAGTTACCTTCCCTTTTGCTGGTAAAGTACATATTTAATGTTCTCTATAAAATATGTGAAGCATACAGACTGGTAAGCAATTACATTTTACATCAAAATAAGACTTTTGCAATTACTATTTTTTTTAGATTTTTTTAGTTTGCAACTAAGTTTTTCACTGGGACACCTATTTACAACTGAGTAGGAGAATGTTAGCTTTTATCCTTAAAACTGGTAGTACTTACACTCTTGAGAGCAAGGAAACGTATGGACATCCTTAAGACAATAATACGCTCACTGCTGTTTTGGACAATGTATGCTTACAAAGCAGCTGCTTTAATTCATATTCTACTTTCTTAGCAAAAACTGCCATGCACTAGATAAGCTAAATTGAGGTATATAAGTGAATTCCCATCTGCTTAATATGGTGCTGAAAATTTACAGGCTTCGTAAAAGTTACCTCTCAGACCCCTCAATGTCAAGTGCACAGAGGAGTCTGGCACTAGTCAGCAGTAATAAATGGAAAATGAACAGATGCAACTACCAATCATTTTGAAGCTAACAATCTGATTTCTATAAGATGCTTTTTGATGACTTCAGTAATCTTTGAAGCAGGCTGTAATTCAATCACATCTTCATACAGTCAGCGAATATATATGCGAACTTTGAGCCTCAACTTGGTTATTATCTGTTAAGTTCATTTATTTTAAAAAATTTCCAGTACTGACTCAAATAAGGAAGCAAAAACTCTGTGTACCAGTGTTCTGACTTTCATAAATGTTCTTTTGGCATGCTTACAAAAATTTAATTAGCCTCCAAAGGACAAATTGTCTTTAGGGATTATATCAATCTAGAATTCTATTAATAATAATAGGATGAAAACTATCCTAGAATTTCACCTACATTTTAGCTTTGCAAATTCTAGTAAGTGTTTTTTAGGTCTACTAAGTAATATATTATGCTTTAAGATTTACGCTTTAATACAAGGACACCCATCTAATAAGCTTTAAGAAAGAAAAAGAAAAAAAAAACCAAAAAACAACTCTATAGCATTCCTGTGTGTAACTTTTATGTATATTGGTGGTTTGTACTGTAGGGTAAACGGTAATAGACTTAGTAGTTCTCTTGATGTTCCATTCTATAGGTGATGTTTTGACAATTCAATCTTTTACTTCTTCACATTTCTCTATCCTGACTTAGGGGTTTGCCAGCTTGTGAATAAGATGGAAGAAAACTCAGGCAAGATCAAGGCTTTCAACAGAAATGATGAGCAGTTTCTGGAAGCATTTGTCATCTTTTGTGGCTTGGGGATTCAGAATACACAGATGTATGAAGCTGTAGAAAGAGCAATGGCCAAACAGATGGTGACATTAGAGGTGAGTTCAGAATTTAATTGGCACAGAACAGATATTCATATTCTCCGAATCTTGTCTGTTTCTACACATAAATGCAACTACTCACATGAACAGAAATTATTCTCCTTCATGAGAACAGCATTTGGCCTGATGAGTTGCACGGGAATTTTTCTGCTTATTTCCATGTCTCCCAGCAGACTATTTTATTTGGTATTGTATTTTAACTTGACTCATGAGATTTAGCAGTGAACTGAACACATCTTTTCCTTTACACAAGGCTACCCATTGGCAACATAGTTAGTTTGTTCTGTTGCGTAGGAAGAGGAAATGGTTTAGGGGATTAGGAGCTTCCTTTTCTTGTCTGAGGTTTTCTGTGATGATTTTGGCTCAGTCCTTTAGACAAACTGGTTTGTGGAGCAACAACAGCATTATTGTAGGTTTTCAGCAATTTCCTCAAACTCCATCAAACCATATCAAGTCTTAGCCATTGAATTGGTTACTGTTAAGTTTAATAGCTAAAGAGGGCTTTAGTTAGAGAAGCTGAATTACTCAGAGGTGATAACTTGAAGCTGAATGTGAAAAATTTGTAGACTTTGGATCTCCTAACATTCTTTATGTAAATAGAGTATTTGGACGATTCTGAAATGTGGATTATGTATTCTGTAGCCTCTAAAAAAGAAAAAAAAAATCACCTCTCTCAAATAAACCTGTATAAAATCATGTTGGGTAAAAAGGTAGTAAAATTATTGTCAAAATTATTTAAGTACTTTAAAAAGAAGCTGTTTGGTTACGTGGCAAATTAGCAATTCTTTCTCCTGCCGTAACACTTCACAGTATATGAAGTCCTTACCTCCAAGTTCCATAATAGAAAAAGATTATAAGTTAATACCTAAATTGACTTCTTTATAAAATAATTTATCTTTAGTTGCTAAAACAATCTGAAACATTTTCATGTTCTGAGTTCTCACAATTGAAAAATATGAGCTTATTTTGTTAATTTAAAACAAACGTTTTCTTTCAGGCTTTTCTGCCAAATTTCAGTTAAGGCAAAATTTTCTTTTATGTCTGAATAAACTTCTGAAAGGATTATTATGGCAACAATGTCAGGCACATAATTATAGCTCTTTCATGAATTATTTGTCTTTAAAAGTGGGGCATGAAAACTTTCCAAAGAGAAAATCAGAGTTCTTTGCTCATTTATAGAAACTATTTACGTTTTCTTGGCCTAATTATATCAAGAAGATTCTGTGCTGTTGCAGATCTCTTCCTACATGCTTTCAGAACTTAAAAGCAGTGCAGGCCCTGCAGAGACACTACATTTCATCAGCAAGAGCAATGTCATGCAAGAGCAGTGTAATGCAATGAAAATTCTGTTTTCTGAAACCTCTGTTTTATCACATTGCTCTTTTGTTTGTACTAAGGGCTCCTTTTCTCTTTAGGTTCTCTCATACCATGCTTCTGCTGCTGAGGAGGAAACAAGGGAGCTGCAGGTAACAGCGGTAATTGAATTTTTTCCTATTACTTTTGAAATATTCCATTGATATAACAGTGAAGGGAGGTCCTTTACACAGATGTGATCCCTACACATGCAGAAGTACACACTTTTCAGAAATAAAAATTACAATAAACCTAACATTACAATGTACAGAGGGCTGCAGTTACAGAAACAAACAAACAAACAAAACAGAAAAATAAATAGTTACTGACATAATGACGGCCATTCATATGAATTTAACTGACAGCAGCAGTTGATGCAATAATACTATCAACTTTTAATGATTAAGTATTTCAGAAGCAGGAAAAAAAACCCGAAATCTTGTGAACTCTTCTTCTAGCAGTTAAGTCTGAATTTTGTATATTTTATATCTTTGGTATATTTCAAGCTTCCCAAGCATGGATGCAGGTTTATGGCCTATGACAGAAATTCAGCATTTAATTATTCTTATGTTTACTTTTCTGTGTGGTGTCCCGTTGTACTCATGTTTAATCATGTGTTTACAAACCATTGCCTTAGGAGTCACTACAGCCATGATTTCAAGTATAGTTCAAAGCACATGTTGTGCTTAGTCTCTGCTGTTCTTTCTGTTGGAACACAGTGTTCTGGGCAAATTGCATCCCCTCTACTGCAAGGAAGACAATGAAAGTGGTGGAGGGATGAAGAGGAAGATAAACAAAGGGGACTACAAGGGGACCACATAGTATTGGACTGGACTGGACAAAGCAGGGTGCCACAGAACAAGGCACAACTAAGGATCATATACCACATTGGATAATTTTGGAATGATTATATGGTGTCATGCACATTTTGAACCTCAGTTCTACCACACTGTTGCTTTCTGGTAAAAAGGCACTGGCAAGAATAGTATGCTACACATCTGCAGTGGTTTCTTTTAAGGGCTTGTGTTGCAGTCCCTGTGGTTGCAACTATACTGGTAGACAAAACAGAACCACACAAAATGTAGCACTGAAACAGCATTCATCTCTACTGCTCAACTGCCCGTACGACTCCTACCACAATTTCTGCCCTTTTAAACCACCACTTCTTAAGGCAGTACCAGAGCACACAGCACATGCTGTCTTCAACAGCCTGCATAGATGAATGCAATAGATTTAGATTTCTCTATCTTACTGTCTAGCAGCACTAATTTGAGCAAGTAATAAAATTATTTCAGATAATTAGCTGAAAAAAGAAAGTATGCACTAAAAATAATGATATCTTAAGACTTCAGGCCAGCACATGGATCCCAATGCAAACCAATCACCAAACACTATTTAGAGTAAACGTGTCAATTTGTGGTGTTTGGCCTCATTACCAAAGAATGGACCCTGTCTTTCTATCTTCTTTGGAGCATGCTTGGTCATGGAGAGGATTTTGTTCAATAAATCTTTTTCCTTTTTCCATCAGTAGCCAACACAGATCTCTGTAGTCTTGCTATTTCACAGAACAGACCTTTATTTCCAGTGAACCTCTATTTTGAGAAAAAAAGAAAACTGTAATCTTTCTAAATTGGAAAAACAGTCAAATTGTGTTCAACATATTAGAGACTATTTCCTGTAATGGACTTTCCATCCAACCTTGAATTTGTGTGGGATTTGTTGCTCTAGCTGGATGCATATGTAAATCTATTGGGCTCAATGGAATTCATCCCAGGGTACTTAGAGTTGGCTGCTGTCATCACAAGACCTCTCTCAATTATTTTTCAATAGTCCTGGGAATCCAGAGAGGTCATAGTCAACTCAAAGCTGGCAAACATTGTCCCAGTTTTCAAGAAGAGTGACAAAAATGACCCTGGTTATTAGAGATCTGTCAGTATCACTTCAGTTCCTGGCAAAATTATGGAGAAGATTATTCTGGAAGTCATTGAAAAACCTGAGAGACAACACAGTCACTAGTCATAGCCAACGCAGGTTCACAAGGGGAAAGTTCTGTTTAACAAACTTTATCTCCTTTTATAACAAGGTTACTCACTTAGTTGACCAAGAAAAGCCAGTTGATGTAACTTTGGTTTCAGCAAAACATTCCATACTGTTTATCACAGTATGTTCTGGACAAAGTGTCCAGCATACAGGTAGAAGAAAAAATGTAACATGATGAGTGAATAATTAGCTGATGGATTGGACTTCAAACGGTTACAGTAAATGAAGTTACATTAGGCTGGCAGCTGGCATCACTAGTGGGCTTCCACAGGGAGCCATTTTAAGGCTGGTTCTCTTCAGTGTTTTCATCGGTGACTCAGACACAGGACTTGAAGGTATATTAAGTAAATTTCTGGACAACACTAAATTAGGAGAAGCAACTGACTCCTTTGAGGGCAGGGAGGCCTTGCAGAGAGATCTTGACAAATTGGAGGGCTTGAAATTTCAGCCACATGAAATTTCAAAAGAGCAAGTGTCAGATTCTGCACCTGGGATGAGTCACCTGAGTACAGGCTGATGAATATGTGGCTGAAGAGCAGACTTGCAGAAACAGATATGGGGATTCTAGTTGACGGCAAGTTGAATGTGAATCAGCAGTGTACTCTGGCAGCCAAAAGGGCCAGCTGTACCCTGGGATGCATCATGCTCAACACTTCTAGGCTGGTTGAGGGAAGGGATTGTCCTGTTCTGCCCTGTGCTTGTGCAGCCTCATCTTGAGCACTGGGTGCAGTTTTGAGAGCAACAATATAAGGACATGAAGCTATTAGAGAGCATCCAAAGAAGGGCAATGAAGATGGGAAAGAGTTTAGAGGACAAGACATATAAGAAGCAGCTGAGGTCCCTTGGTTTGTTCAGCCCAGAGCAGAGGAGGCTGAGGTCAGGACTCGTGGTTGCTGCAGCTCCTCACAGGGAGCAGAGGACAGGTGCTGATCTCTGCTGTCTTGTGACAGTAACAGGACCCAAAGAAACAGCATGGAGCTGCATAAGGGGAGAGTCACATTGGAAAAGATTCTTCACCAGAAGATGACTGGACACTGGAACAGGCCCCCAAGGCAGTGGTCATGGCCCCAACCTTCCTGGAGTTCAAGGAACATTTGGATAATGCTCTTAGAAACATGGTTTGATTATTGGGTAGTCCTGCATGGTCCCGGGAGTTGGACTCAATGATCCTTGAGAATCCTTTCCAATTCAGGATATTCTATGATTTTAAGACTGTTGTAATTCTTCCCGCTTACCAATGAGAAACTCTCCTAATTATATTCTAGATAGAAAAGCTTTCCTAAGCATGCTTATCCATGATGATATATATAGTTATCTGCAGAAGATTAAACAAAATCAAACAAAAAAAACACTCGTGAAATCTTCCCAAAGCCACAAATGATATCAGTAACAACCCTGTACTATCCACCTTTTCTTCTCAGGAACCTGGAAAAGGAATAGAATCAGCCATTTTGTATTGTCTAAACAGCAAAAGGAATTTAGAGTACAAGCACCCACGTGAAAAAGACCTTCCTAAAAACTACCTTTTCTTCCATAACAAGTTATGGAGAACAGGATATTAATTTTGAGCTTGTTCTGCAATTGTCCAGAAAAATGGGAACCTCATACTGGGAAAGTGATTTTTAATGTATAGTATAGTGTAAGACTTATCACTTATTTAGTTGACAACTTTAACATCCATACTTTGATGGGCATTCAATACTTATACTCTACATTTTATAACTGGAAAAAATACAGCTGTTATATATAGAGATATGATGAAAGATATAATAAAAGTTACAGATTTTAAAATGTACTGAGTTTTTGCATCTACTTTATAATTTCAAATTTCAAATCAAAGTTGTATGATTGTACTCAAGATACATTAAAAGCATTGTTCAAAGATTTTAAAGATGATCCGATGAGAGGTGAACCCTAATTTTTCAGACTTTTAGCCCTGAGAAAGTTCTGCTTGTGGACATGTTCTAACTTCCACAATAGTTGAATGTGGATTCCACCACTGTCTCATTTTCACAATCTCTCAATTTCATACATCCTCTTTGTTATAGTTTCTCTTGGGTGACTTAGGTAAGATTTTCTGATCATGCAATACTTTCTTATTCTTTTGATCTGTGGAAAAGCATTAAATCAAAGAAACGAATGAGGCAGTGTTAAAGTGGAAGAGCTAAGGAAAGATAAATGGGAAGTAATAATCAGATTTAAAAATAACATTAAGGTAAAATGTAGGATCTCACTACTTGTCTGCTGAAAAAGCATTTATGTTATGCTTTCTCTTTTCTAGTTCAATTTTGTCCTCTTATTCTTCTCTAGGCTGCTGTAGTACCATCTGCACAATCTCTCAACCTGACTGACTTCAACTTCAGTGATTTTGAGCTATCAGATTTTGAAACAACACTGTGTACAATTCGAATGTTCACAGACCTCAACTTGGTGCAGAATTTTCAAATGAAACATGAGGTATGAATGTTGTCAGATGCTGCTTCACATAAAGAAACAAATTAATTACTGGAAAATCAGAAGAACAGTGAAAGGAACCTACAGCAAATGCATTTGAAAATCTGTATTTAAAAGTAGATAGCAAATTAGGTATTTAATTAGGTATTTAAAGTAATGGGGGTTTCTTTCTAGTTTGATTCAACTGAATAATTAACAACTTGGTAGATGGACTAGAAAATGCATTTAGAAAACCTGGAGAACTGGAAATGTGGTTAAAATTCTAGTGAGTTTTAAAAAGTATAGCAGTATTTCAAAAACAGCAAGACGACATGCATAAGTACTCAGATGCATAAATTAGAGATAATAAACAAAAGAATAGGTAGTACTAACACACACCAAAAAAAACCATATCCAGGCTAGTATTACCAGAAGCTATGAGAAGTCAGTTACGTTCTACAGTAGCAAAAAAGGCAAATATTGTTATTTACTTGCACGGGAGTGGCATTTAAGGCCCATGGAGTAATTATATCATAGCTCATAGATTTGCAAGAACAAAATAGCACTATGACAATAGATACAAGTACACATCTCAATAGACATAAGAGAGCATTAACAGCTTTGAAGCTACAGCACTGTTTTTCCATTCTAGAACTAAAGAAACTAGCACTTTTCTCCTTATTTAAGAGTAGAAAAACAGAAAATACTGCTGTTCTTGTGCAGAATTGTTTATGTGGATGAATGATAATGGATTTTCATTTCTGTCACCTTTCAGTAGGAACTCTAAAAATCATCTTTAACAAACAAAAAAATCTTGAAGTCCTCAGCCTGTATTTAACAGATGGCAGTATGCAGTTTGCATTTAAACTAAGTGATCTGTTTTAGTGTGCATATGATTACCATGTTCAAGACTTTTGCTCTCTTAAAAGTAAAGTATAACCCACAACTTTTATTACATTTGTGTAAAACATTCAGAACATACTTTCTTCCTTCCTAAAAAATGCAACCCAGCAATACAGTAATCACTGTCTTTCTATCATGCTTGCTTTCCTTAGTCCAATTCTGCTTGTCTTTTGACAAGCTGATATAAGAGAAAAGACATGTTCGTTATCAAAACATTTCTCAAGAAAGCTCTGTAATTAAAAAATGAATTGTCTCCATGAAATATGTTGTTACAAGCAAGCATTTTTTTCCTACCAGGTAGTTCAATATAACTCAGTTTCTGAGTTAACAGCAGCTTCTAGCTAACACAGAAGATACTAACATAGGCTGGATGTTAGGAAATATTACTATTCCAAAAGAGTAATCAGGCACTGGAATGGGCTGCCCAAGGAGGTGTTGGAGTCACCGACTCTGAAGGTGTTCAAGGAACATTTAGACGTTGTGTTGATGGACATGGTTTAGTGAGAACTATTGGTGATAAGTAGACAGTTGGACTGGATGATTTCGTAAGTCTTTTCCAACCTTGGTGATTCTATGATTCTATGATTCTATTATTTATTTTTAGTCCTTATTCTATTATCTATTTATTTATTATTATTAGCCAGAATAAAACCACAAATGTTACATTCCCAAGGAGAAACTATATGATTGTAAGCGTTTTATCTATATTTACAGATACAAGTGTGTTATTTTAGAACTGAATTGAGGTAAGAGGAAAAATGTTCTGTATGACAGTTTTCAATTGAGAAGGATTTGTTTTCCTAAAAAGAAACTTTTAATATATTTACAGTTAACTATATGATGCTGTTTCTTAAAGGTTCTCTGCAGATGGATTTTAAGTGTGAAGAAAAATTATCGGAAAAATGTTGCTTATCACAATTGGAGACATGCCTTTAATACAGCACAGTGCATGTTTGCTGCTTTAAAATCTGGTAAAATTCAGGTACATTTTGCTGTTACTACATTTAAGAACCTTCTGTCTGAATAAATTTTGTAATGGTACGTAGTTCCGATTGTCATGTCAATAAGACGTTCAACATTACAGCATCACAAATGAAATCAAAGTTTTTCTGCTGAAGACTTCTGGCTTTAAGTGCTTGGCTTGTTAAATTGTTGTCATGTTGTTATGCATTCAGTTTCAGTTAAATCCTTTGGAATGATTGAGTGGATACTCCCAATAGGAATATCTCAAAGAAGTCACATACATGATTATATATACATTTTTTGAGTCAATGCTTATGCTACGAGCAAGTCTAAAAGCTGGAAAAAGAAAGGGATCAATCCTACTTCAGAATGTTTCCTTCTAATATTCAGCAGGAATTTCTTTAAGTTCATACAGAGTTGTCTGCAGTTGTAGACAAACAATAGAACATTTTTAGAAATAAAAATTTAAATGATATTTTCAGTGCTTTTAAACAATACTTAAAATTTCCACTTAAAAGGAAAACAGTAATTTCAAAAATTCAAAAAGCCTAATTGTTATTTATTACAAATACTGAAGAACCAGATGATCTCGTAGAAAGAAAAACTTGTTTTCAAGATTGATCCGAAATAAATTTGCAGGATTTTTTTGTGTTTTTTTTTAAGAAAAGAAAATGTTCCTGTCCATTCTGAATGAATGTGCTTCTCAGTTCGATTGCAGACAACTGTTTCTTGCTCATTTATCCTATTTTACCATAAGAACTTCTGAAAGAAAAAAATAATTCTATCTGTAGACTAAACAGCTGTACCAATGATGACAAGGCATTCCCTGCCTCTGCAAACTTTATCTCACTTAAAAAAAGACAAAGGGCACTGGAAGAGACAAAGGCAAAGGCATTCCCATTCCTTCTACATTAAAAAGAAACATGGTAGTTTTGCTTTGTGTACAGTACAGCAATCTCAGATGATCCTGATAGTTTGCTATTTTTGGAATCCTGTCAATCTCCACTGCAATTTCCATATATATATATATTTTCCAAACTGCATTGGATACCACTCTCATTTTCACATCCTAGATTCTTGATTCAGAAACTGCATTGAACATAAGTCTCTCAATTTCATTTGAGAGGAAAAACAAGCAATAGGACACCTAAGTGAAATGTAGAATCAGTCATTTCTAACCTGATCTGACTAGAACAAGCTGCATTATCTAGAAAACAGATGGAATACACAAAAGCTTTATCTGCTTGAAGAAAATCTGGATTCAGCCACACAGAATTCGGCCCCTCAGCATCTGTACAGTTCTGTTTTTCAAATTCCTGTCCTGATTTTTTACTTGCTATACCTATTCCATTAAAAATATGTTGCAAGAATGCTGTAGCTTTGTCCAGCCTCTCTTTGTCACTGGTCAGGTTTAAAGAAATATTTTATCAATTTGTGTTAAATAATATTAAAGATGAGGAATAGCTATGAGAGAGAAACAGTAACCTGTCCACTAATCTTTGCTGGAGCTCCAGAATAAGTTCATAACAATGAATCAGATGCTGCTTAATTTTGTTTTCCATGGGTTTTGAACTTCTGTTAATGTATTTGTACAGTGGATTGGTGAAGATCATGTCATTTTTTCATTCTGATTATTCCAAGGACATATGTACTTTTATACCGATTCAGGGAATGTAGCCTAACTCCCTTGAGTCTATATAGAAGCTGAAATAAAAGTGATGGGTCCTGATGCTGCCTTTTTGCTATCAGATGATATCATACAAGTCACTGTGTCTTCTTCTGCACCAGTAATATACTTTCCTCATCAGTAATATAGGCCTAGAGGATGTTACTTCTTTCTGAATACTGCATTGACGCCTATGGAGAATGATTCCTGTTGAAAACCACAACTTCAGAGATAACCCCTTATTCTCACTATACAGTTTTATGTCTGTGGCCTCTTTGGGCCAAAGCTGCATCACCTACATAGGTAAAAACAAGATGACAGATATAAAACACATTTTGCAAAGAAATCACAAAGCTAACTCACTTCTTGTATTACTTTGTACATACAGAGCAAACTGACTGACTTGGAAACACTGGCTTTGCTGATAGCAACTCTAAGCCATGATTTGGATCACAGGGGAGTGAACAACTCTTACATACAAAGGTAAGGAAGTATACTGAGAGATCTTAAATTTAAAAAAATGAATGCACAAGTACACAGAACCAAATTATGTACAACTTAATTGATTTGATAATGTGAGGCTGTGCAAAGAAAAGGTCTTCACTAAGCAGTAAGCACAGGAAAAGCCAGAGACATTTAAGGAGGCCAAAGCAAAGACATAACTCATTGAATCGTAAGAATCATAGATTGGCTTGGGTTGGAAGAGACCTCAAAGCTCATGTTGTTCCAACCCCCTGTCATGGGCAGGGTTGTCAAACATCAGATCAGGCAACTCAGGGCCCCATCCAACCTGGCTTTAAACACCTCCAGGGATGGGGTATCCCTGATTATTCCAAGTTTCTCTGAGCAGCCTATGCTTGGGCCTCATCACCCTCTGCATTTATAATTTCTTCCTAATATCTAACCTGTATCTCCCCTCTTTTAGTTTAAAGCCACTCCTCCTTGTCCTATCACTATCTGCCCATGTAAAAAGTCAGTCTCCCTCCTGCTTATCCTCAAGGGCACAATGAGGTCTCCCTGGAGCTTTCTCTTCTGCAAGAAGAGAACAAGGCTGGCTCCCTTTCTTTATAAGAGATATGCTTAAGCCCTCTCATCATTTTCATGGCCCTCCTCTGGACCCACTCCAACATCTCCATGTCTTTTAACACAGCCCGGTATGCCGTTGGCCTTCCGGGCTGCAAGCATGCACTGCTGGCTCATCTCCAGCTTTTCATCCACTGGAATTTCAAGTCCTTCTCCACTGGGCTGCTCTCAGTGAGTTATTCTCCCAGTCTGTTCACATATCTGGGACTGTCTTGACCCAAACGTAATACCTTGCACATAACCTCACAGAACCAACTAACAAGAGTGGCAGATGAAGTGAACTCTTTGTAGACTGTGCAGGGGCAGTGTTTTCCTGCTCTTTTTGCAGATGTCCCATCCCCTATTTCCCACACAGAGATAGCAAAAGATCTCAGCTTCTAAGTGACAACATGCCAAAAACGTGTAGTTTTGCAGATTGCTCACTGCCCATCCAGCTGTTCCCCATCTAGTCTGGCCAGCACAGAGCTGAGATCTTCAGCCATCTTGATGATTCCACATCATTGTGAACTCTGATTGTTTAATACATGACTTAGTCATGGTTTTCCAGAACTCTTAAGTAGATTTGGATAAGACATACATTTAAAATCAGATTACAAATTCATGACTGTTTAGCATTATTTTGGATTACCTCTAGTCTAATTTTAATCAATTCCAAAATTACAGAAAAGGCTTCATAAACAAAAAGTCTAAATGTATTTTAACACCTTGAAACAAAATATTTTTACCAAAAAGATATTTCACTCTGAAGTTACTAAAATGAATCATCTGTACTCTTCTGAAAATTTCTCTTTTCATTTTTTAACTAACAATATATATTTTTACATGTATAGATAGTTTCAGATCTGCACAAAATGTGTTTTTCAGTGAATTTAATATTCAGTTCAAACAGTAAACGATTCTTTGATTAAATAAATAGCTTGACTTAAAACGTGGTATAATGTTATTACTGTGATATAGCAATGTGTCCTGATCTGACCAGAGAAGGGGAAAAGATACTAAGGAACATTTACTTGTATTTTTTTCTGGTAGAGCTGGAGAGTGCTTTTGAAGCTTTGAAAGAAGTGGTCAGCTGTATTTGCTATGCTGAAATGATACTCAGTTAGGAAAATTTTGTTCCAGGCAGAGAATATTGAAAGGCAGAAAATAAGTAAGCTAAAGCTGAATACTTTCCTTTTAGGATGCATGTCCAGAATAAATCTAAGACTGATGTGTAAAGCAAAAGGGAAAAAAAAAAACCCACAAAACTGAATGTGTAACCTTTCTCTAGTTCCCTAATAGGGGAATCCAACAGTAACTTGTAGCCTTGCAGCGATTAGAACTGGTCAGCTATTTTTTGCTTTATTTATTTAAAAATAAATTTCCTGGAAGACATCTGGAGGATCGTCATCTCCTCTCAGCAATGTCCTGGGAAAGTGTCATAGACAGCAAAATTTAACATTCATACATGCTGTAAAGCAGAAATGATCACAGCTTAATAATTCTTTTTCAATAAAGACAATCACGTGAATTTTGTTTTTAAATTCCTCATGTACATTAAATGAAAAGTTATTTTTCTAGAAATTGATCTCTTGGAAGTGGAGAAAGTGGACACTTGGCATATGATTCTTTTTTTTTTAAGCAATGGTGTTTCAAAAATTAAAGTGGTCCTGGTAGCAGAAATTACAGGAAATGAACTGTTTAAAAATATTTCGTAGTTACGCAATGTTTTTTTTCCTTTTTTTTTTTTCCTTTTTTTCTTTTTTTTTTCCAAACCTGCATGTAAAATAGACAAGTACAGAGTATGAAAACTGCATAACCAAACCTCTGTGTTCTGAAAGCAATGGTGTCCTTTGTCCTGGTGTGGTGGTTTAAGAGAAACACTATGTACTACAGAATTAAGAACCTGAGTTTATTTCTAGCACTTGTATCTTCCCAGACAGTCAGGGTCTGTAAATACTGAGCAAGCTCTAGTTTGATGCAGTGCTTGGGAAGATAACCTAAGAATTTTCTCACATATTTCTCTCTTCGATCAGGATGAACTTTAAGGACATTGTATGCATCCCATTTAACTCAATGGGAATTTCACTCAGCATGCATTGGCACAGTCCTACAACTTGTTTTCTAAGAGAAGCATGCAAGCATATTTGATGTATGTTCCCCTTGCAGTGGTCTCAGAGGAGGTGCTGGGCAGCCAGCCCATAACCCTCAAGGGCTTATATCCTCTAATCTCCCTTTCTGTGTTTTTGTTTGTCTTTCCATCTTTCTCTCGACATTTCTGTGCTTCTTAAACCCCCAGAGGCTCCTCATATGGCTTTTATTTGAGTCTCTGTGTGTATTCACTTTACATAGGGACTCGGTGCTGTAACCACTTATTCATGTGCATGATCCTTAGCCATACAGAAAGTCAGAATTTCTCAAATGAGTAAACATTTGTAGGTCAAATTATAACTATAGTAATAGATTCAGGATCAGCAGCAGAACATAATTCAGAGTACCCTGATTTAGTTAAAGAGATGAGATAAACAACGTGGGAACATCGTTTCATGTTTGAAAATAATGGTTTTGAAAATAAAGATACAGTAGCAAAAGCTTAGAACATTAGTATGCAGTGAGGATGAGAGGGAAACTAGAAATCCTCAGAGGAGGAGTTTTATCTATTTTGTCTAATGCTACTCAAACAGCATTTTTTTTTTTTTTCTAGAGTAAGCTTTAAATTTTATATCTATACATTTGATTTTATCCTGATTTCCCACTGCCTGTAGTATCTTGTTACCCTTTTGGATTTCATCCTCAGTGAAGGGAAGGTAATGATACTGCAGTAGTTTGGTCACATGTGCTTACCAGCACAATAGGAAATTATTCGTTCAACATTTGGGGGCCTGCACCAGAGTTCACTGAGGTTAACAGGAACTTTCCCAGTGATACCATTGTGCTTTAGATTAGGTCTCATTATTACTTGCAAGCTCGATGTAGTTGATTAAATATGAGGCAGGTATGCAAAATGTAACACAAAACAAAACTGTCACTTAAATTCTGTTTGTGAAAAAAAAAAACCTTTCTTGTTGCTTTTCCTTTTCATGGAATAACTCACTCTTTACCAGACCGTGTATTACATTCTCACTCTTTCTGTGAAGCTGGTAACAGAAGGCAGAAAACTAGAGCGTTCAGTGCTCTGACAAAGAAACAGGGTTGGCTTTTTATCTGTACTTCCCCTGCAGACTTTCAGATGTATTCATTGAGTTGCACAGAACTGGGAAAGGAACTGGTTAAGAACAAGCACTGGTGGGTGGGGCAAACTGTTAAGAAGAAAAGGACATTATTAAGGAAATTATTTTTGGATGAGAATTACGTTTAATTTGATTTCTCCATCTGATGAGTCTTTTTGGTCCCCAGAAGTGAACATCCTCTGGCTCAACTGTATTGCCATTCCATCATGGAGCATCACCATTTTGATCAATGCCTGATGATTCTGAATAGTCCAGTAAGTGCCTCATTGTTGTGTATGCTGAAAGGGAACCATTCTCTCTATTTTGCTTTTTATTTTTAGCTTTTGGATAGATTCCTACTGTTATACATTCCTAAAGTGATCTGTATTCCTTTTTGGGTAAGGAAAACAAATTGCAGCAGTTTTGAAATCACAGTTCCATTTCTGAGCACCACCAAACCTTTCTAAGTGTTGCCTGATAAGGGAAGCCTTGCTAACATCCTTCTGAGTACCTGCTTTCTTCGACCAAAGAAAACAAAAAAGCTTTGTTGCCATATTCATGACCTCTTATGAGCCACCAAGCAAACCCAAGCCCTTGCTTTCCTTTCAAAAAAGATTCCAGCATATACACACAGAAGACAGTCCTGATGAGAACAAACCAATACTGCTAACGTTTATGTTCCAAAGTGAAGCCAAACCTAAGCTAGATAAGTATGCAAATAAAACTACCTTCTTCTATTATTCACCAATTCTAAGGCCAGTTATTCATCGTGCACAAACATTTCAAAGCAGTATACCTCCAGTGTTCATTTCGTATCACAGGTGTGGTACTTCTGACATATTTTGTATTGCAATGATTCTCTTCAGCTCACACAGGAAAATATGGGAAAGTATGGAGACAAGTTTTACCATCTCATCAGCCTTACAGTGCTTGTTTAAAAGTGGGATGCAAATCTTTTCTTTCTATATAATAGCTTGTTATTTATGTAGCTTCATGAATGGAAAATATTTCAGTCAGTGTGAGGTGCATAGGCAAGTACTGGTATCTGTTATTGTTCTTAAGTGAGAGAAGAAATGAAAAGACAAATGCTTCAATACAGGTCATGGTGAATTAAATTTTTATCTATGAAAGGGACTTAAGATATTGCTGTTGCTCTGCCTGTAGTTTGATTTTGTAGAAGTCTATTATGATGATGTTGCTGCACAGCTTTCTTTCTGCCATTACTCAAGAAGATTGGAATTTTTATTTTTAAACTGGGGAATCCACAAAAAGAATCAGGGCAAAAGAATGACAGCACATACCAGTAAGCAATTCAGAATGATTCAGTATCTAAGAGAGATTTTAGCAAATTGGTGTGTTACCTAATTTACTACTAACACTGTTTTTTGTTGTTGCTGTTGTTTTGTTTGCCTGTTTGTTTTTTGTAAAGGGAAATCAGATTCTCAGCAGCCTTTCCATTGAAGAATACAAGGCAACACTGAAAATGATAAAACAAGCCATCCTTGCAACAGACCTAGCACTATACATAAAGTAAGTCAGAGGCAAGTTTCACTGGTAGTCATAGCTAGATGTTTAGATTGTCAGCACATTGTAAAATCTTTTCACTTGTTTTAAAGGAGGAGAGGAGAATTTTTTGAACTTCTAAGAAAAAAGCAGTTTAATTGGGAAGATCCTATGCAGAAGGAGCTATTTTTGTAAGTAAATGCAGAATGATTAAAAAGTTGATTAATATTAGATGTCCAATTTTCCATGCCACGTTGTCAGGAATTGCATTAAAACCAACCAGTCTGTATGCTTGGGGCCTGTACAAAGTGGTACAGGTGACATAGGTCTCTTCCAGGGATTCAATTACTAAATTTGCAGCCTGTATAATAAACTGTGTTAAATAGTATGTGGAGTTGCAAAAGCATTTCTATTCCATAGAACTCCTAAGTACAATGCTGTTTTGCTTTTATATTTAAATATTTAATTGCTGAAACCACTACCCAAAGATTCAGGACAGATGTTTTGTTTTGAAGCAGATTCCTTACTGGAAATGGAGAAAAAAAATAAAAGAATATTTAAGAACCAAAAAAGCTTTATAAAAAGCTACAGAAAAACATTCATCTAGACTGTCTCAGAAAGAACAGTTGCCATACTTTAAATTCAGTGCTTTTAAAACCTATCTCATTTAGTCATGTTGCATTTAATCACCTTTTCCAATTTCAATTACTGACCCTTGTATTGTCAATGAAAATGGCAGTCCCTGTTAATGACAGAAAGGAATGACAGAATCATACAACTGTAGAATATTCCAAGCTGGAAGGGACCTACAAGGATCACCAAGTCAAAGTCCTGGGTCCATGCAGGACCACCCAAAAATCATAACCTATGTCTGAGAGTGCTGCACAAACGCTTCTTGAACTCTGAGAGATTGGGGCCATGCCCACTGCCCTGGGGAGCCTGTTCCATGCTCACCGCCCTCTGGTGAAGAACCTTTTACTAACACTCAGCCTGACCCTCCTCTGACAGACCTCCATGCTGTTCCCTATGGTCCCGTCACTGTCGACAAAGAGGAGACATCAGTGCCTACCTCTCTGCTGCCTTCAAGAAGTTGCAGGCTGCCATGAGGCCACCCCTCAGTATCCTCTGAACAAAAACTGTGACTTCAGCTGCTCTTCACACACCTTCCCCTCCAGACCCTTCCCTATCTTAATAGCCCTCCTTTGTATGCTCTCTAATAGTTTCAGGTCCTTCTTACATTGTGGCACTCAAATCTGTACACTTAAGGTGAGGCTGCACAGAGTAGAGTGGAAAAATCCCTTCCCTCACCCAAGCTGGCAGTGCTGTGCCTGATGTGCTCCACGGTACTGTTGGCCATTTTGGCTGCCAGAAATAAATGTGCTATCTGTCCAGTAGCAAATACAATGAAGCAATTCATTTTATGTGAATCCAACAAACGAGCTGGTCCAAATTTGCTCATTTCTGAGTGCTCTTTTCATACAGGTGAAAGTCTACATAATCAAGTCTTGGATGTCTCTATAACTTTGGTTTAATTTCACTTGTTTTTCTGCCTTTGATTTTCCTTGAAATTGGTTATTCTATTTACTAATCACTTGGCTTGGTGGCAACAAAAATTTCACAATACAGTAATTAATAGATTTTTTTTTTTTTTTTCTATAGAGCAATGCTGATGACTGCTTGTGATTTATCAGCTATCACCAAACCGTGGCCAGTTCAGCAACGGGTATATCCTTAATTTCAAGATTTCTTAAATACAAACTCTGCATAACTGCTTTTGTTTTCTCTATTCAACCTGTATTGCAAAGGCAAGAGTGGAATATAGACCCTTAGCAAGCAGTCCTTCAAAATGCTAAATGTGGATTGAAGATTTTCTCAAGTCTTTGCAGCAAGATCTATGCATGTCAGACTGTTATTAATTATCTGAAAGTAAATCAGGAACCTCCTTTTTTTTTTTTTTTTTTTTTTTTTTCCCCCAGCATTTCTGTGTTACTACAAGGTGGTCAGTTGATACAGCACACTATCTAGTATCAGCTGACCTTTCTCTATGTTTTGATCATTCTAGCTGTTATCAGTGGTAAGGTACTTCTATGCCATTGTACTTTGCTTTGTCAGACTACATATCAGCACATGCAGGTGTATCTTTTGTGAACAGATGTATATGTCAATAAATCTAAAAGCTAGAGGTTAAATGGGAGATTTTTATAGGTGTTGATCCCAATCTGATATATGCTAAGAAGGCACAGGAAATTCAGGAAATGGTTTTGATTGTAGGTAGCAAGCAAACTTTTATAGCTCTCAATGTGTGAAATCTCTTACAGATTGCTGAGCTTGTAGCTACTGAGTTCTTTGATCAGGGAGATAAAGAGCGGAAGGAACTCAACATAGAACCAACAGTAAGTAGAAAATGGCTTCCATAAACAGCTTTATGGAATCTAAAACAGTCCTTTCAAAAGCCAGCTTTTCTTTCAGTGATCAGATTCTAGGACCAACTCCTTCCCTGTCTTCCTAGCAGTCAGTTTTCTTTTGGGATTTCCAACACTGTCACTGCCTTTGAGCCAGAAGAAAAGACAGCATTATATCTTCTAAATCAGTATTATTAAATTGTCTAGGAAATATATTCCTAAAGTGGTGCATAATTGCAGCCTATGCCAAATAAGTAAGCTTGTCTATTCCCCTAGATCGATCAAACCCACAGACGACCTTTAAAGGCTAGTCATGCAGACAAATTACTTGCATTATAGCACACGTACCAATACCCTGCTGTGTTGAAAATGCTGTGCTTTTTGAGATGCTGCCTTTTAATTCTGGCCCCTTTGTTTTTGTTTCAACTTTAAATGCATTTAAACATTGAGCTTATTTATTTATTTGCAGGATCTAATGAACAGAGAGAAGAAAAACAAAATTCCAAGCATGCAGGTTGGATTCATTGATGCTGTTTGCTTGCAGCTGTATGAGGTATGGTGCCTGACAAAGAACTGGAAATATCTAAAACCAGAACTGTTCAGTGTAGTTTTCAGTAGTTGCACATTTAAAATTAGAACAAAATTTGGTTTTAGTATCCTATTTAAAAAGATTTTTTTTTTTTCATATATTCTATATGGTTTGTCATTTAGTTGTAGAAAGGATTATTTTAGTATTAATTGTACGTTTGGCTGATCAATGTATTTTATTATACCATTTTTTAAAATCAGTGGTAATTGCTGTGTTCTGTGCACTGGGTATTAGGTCCCTGGGTTACGTTTTAGATTCTGCCAGTGAAATGTGGTGATCATTAAGGAAAGTCACAAACACAAAATGCTTTGCTATCTACATAAAGAATGGTATCCACATATTGCATGATGAAGAGTGATGTTTAAGAAAGTTCTATAGCATTTAGAATTCTTAATGCAAAAGGTGATAAGCTACATATTGGAAATGTACCTGGGTTTAAAACTTCCCCTCCTTTTTTTTTTTTTTCTCTCTCATGACACTTAAAAGCAGTGCATGAGAGCATTCATTGAAACTTTTTTCTTTCTGGTCACAAAATACGTAAAGAAATACTTGGTCAGATAAAGTATGAAACAAAATATAATAATTCCTGACTTTTTTTAAACCAGTAAAGCAGTAGGATGAAAGCCTGTTCACTGAGACTGTACAAGTATTTTATAGGAACTAAGGTGAGAAAAAGGTGAAGTACAGACAGCCTCACTCTTAGCCTAGTATTTCAATGGGAGGAACAAGTTGATTATTCTTTTCCATCTCACATCCTTCTAAAAAGAATCCACATCCACCAGTTGGAAGAAAACAAAGGTAGTGGAAGGAGGGAACTACTAGCTGCTCCTGAAACTTACATGTCTCTGCACTGTAAAAACTTTGTCAGGAAAATAAGGCTTCCTTTGCTGAGAAGCTTCACAAAACTGTTTCTGTTGGTAGGTAGGCCACTGAAAGAAGTCTGAGTAGCTGTGGAAAAGGTATAGAGTATACAAACAGAAAATTATTTGAACAGAAAATCTGAACAGGTTTGAATGTCCACAGCTCCAGAGACTGAACTACTGTACTTTATTTGCAGGGGACGGCTTTACCTTCCTATTTATGAAAAGACCAGAAAACTTACAAAAACTTACATTTCTGTAACAGTAGTCCAAATTGAACCTAGCATTTTACAGTTCCCATAAGGAAATGAGGTGTGTGAATGATTTCTAGCTATTTAGCTCCTGTTTTGTAACTGCAGCTTAGTTATGCTGCAGTGAAGACAAACCAATTCCTGGCTAGCAGCCAAGTGCACCTACTTTTTTTTTTGAGCCTTCTCCCTTCTCTTGATCTAGGGAAGAAAGAAGATGCTGTCCCTGTAGAGGGGCTATAAGCAGCATCATTTTGTTCAGAATATGTTGCCTCTTACATCCCTCAACGTATCACTCCTATTTTTCTCTCTGTCTCATCTGACTTGAACTGGAATGGCACATAGCAAGCTGACAGTGTCTAGGACTTTGTACAGACTCAGAGTATGCCAGCACATGTCCTAACCTGAAAGAAAAGTGAGCAAGACTGATGTACATGGGCAGAAAGGATTGAAAAGAATGGGGAGCCTATGAGAAAGAGACAAAACTAGTGACACTATTACAATTACAATTACAATTACAATTACAAGGATGGGGCCATGAAACAATGTACCTAAGTCTAGTACAGGTAGGGGATACCAGGCTCTTACACGGAGTCCTTTTCTTCAATGGTAAAATATATAAACTATGTTACTTTGAAGAAGAACAAGCACACATTTCACTCTTAAAAGTTCTAATGCTAAACGGCAAATAATAAGCAGCATTGTAATTACAGCCTTTTCACTATTCCTTAGCATTGATCCAGCCAGTAGGAACTTAACATATTGAATGAGTGCCCAATGAAGCACTGCATGTATGTGACTTACCATATTATTCAGAACAGTTCTGTTCCCAGTGAACTGATGCTGTGTGGCTTGTTTTAGAGAGATAGGCATTAGAGTTCAACCGAGCGATCTAAATATCTTCCCTTTAAGTTCAGAAATCTGTAAAAAAAAAAAAAAAAAAAGTATTTTACTTCCAATTTTTAATTGAAAAAAGTGTTACATTTAGCAGCTTTAATGCTATTTAGATGTGCTCAGATAAATAAAACATGGATACTCAATATTTGACAGTCCCACTCTTCTTAAAGAGGTAAATCAAGAATAATTCAGTTAGGTCTACCAGAACTAATGATGCTGCCTAGAAAGCAAAAAAGAATTATGAATATTTATACAAGCTGATAATTCAGTAGAGTACCTATGTAAAATTGTAAAATGTAAAAAGTTACAGAAGAGTTAGATATCAGTACCTCATGTTATTTGAATAAGACATAAGTTCCAGGTGAAATTCTGACTTTTGAAATATATTTAATAACCAGCAGTGAGGCCAGGACTTTTCTCTGTGTGCTTTGCAGTTGATCATGGTAGTTCCAGAGTCAGTAGGCTCACTCTTGCCCATGGATCTTGCTGTCCAGCACTGTCCGAACTATCAAACTCCCACTTCACACTTCTGAATAGTGTGACATCATTTCAAATGTCAACAGAACCCTTAATGCAAGTTCTGTCACTATTGTGTGAGGATATGCATACATCACTTCCATCAGGAAAAAAAAAAAGTACAGAGATGCTTCTTGATCTATTTAATTTCCAATTCAGTTTTTCTTCAGTCTGCTGTAGTACCACTGCCACATCATGAAAAATATTTGATAGACTTCAGTTACAGCTGTCCTGAAGAGGCATCAAGTGTCAAACATAATTTAATTATCAGGTGCTAATTGTCTTGAATTCAAATATTTCTGGAAGAACTCTGAATCACTTGTGACATTGTCAAAATGGTCACATTGACTATAACTGCTGATTACCCTTCCAAGGTCATCTTTTTGATCAGCGCTGCCATATATAGAAAGAACTGGCTTACAAAGTCCATGCATTCTAGCTCACTAGGAATCCTGGATAGGCCACTTTTGCATAATTCTGTGTTGCAAATTCATCCTTTTTTTTTTTTTTTTTTTTTTTTTTTTTGCATGTATGTATCGTGTATTACCTGGACACTGCTATTCAGTCTAATCGACCGTGTATTCATGTTTGATGTGCAACAGGAAGCTTTCTTAAAATCAAAATATAAGCTCAATTTCAAGTATTTATAGACCTCATATTTCAGTCATTTTCATCTCTTTAATATTCTTTTTTTAAGAACACTTGTTTTGTTGTTACATATAAACTGTTTTACATGTTTTATTTCAGGCCCTAACACATGTATCAGAGGCCTGCTACCCTTTACTGGATGGCTGTAGAAAAAATAGGCAGAAATGGCAATCCTTAGCTGAACAACAAGAGAAGAATCTGATTAATGGAGAAAGCAATCAAGCCAAACGGACCTGAGATGCCAGTTTAAAAACCACAAGCTTAAGTTCACCTAGAAGATGTAGTAATAGGGAGTACTGCATTCTACTAAACACTGTATGGATTTGGATTATGTTTTTGCCACTGCTGTATTATTTTTCCACATTTCAATATATAGTGTGACTGTGTATATGCCAAGATCATATAATTCTTTTATTACATCTAAGTGAGATGGAAAAAGATCTGCAGTTAGTTTATATAACCTATTCCCTAGAAGGTATGAGTGCAGTTTACTCGAGTGTCCCTGAGAGCCTAATTACTTCATAGATGTACATATAGTTGTTCAGTGATTATGTTGTGGCCAGTATCTTAAAGACTACTGCATTTCGCACCTTTTTTCCTCTTTCAGTCTTGCTGTGTTAGGCTGTAAAAGAAATGCACAGTCTTGCCTGTTCTCTTCCCAGAGGTTTAGAAGAAAAACTGGGACTAATGCTGGCAAGCCTGATCCAGCATCTACTATACTAACCTCTTCCAGGAAACAGAACTGGGCTTTGAAGTGGAGAAGCCCCAGAATTTGTGTACCCAGTAGCCTTTTCATATTATAAGAATGTCTTAGCAATGTGTTACATTTTTAAAAAACCCTGTGAATTACTAGGCAATGGGGGGCTTAGGAGTTTCGTGGTACAGGTGTCATAATTATCCATAGATAATGGAAATTGCTTGAAGACTGATGAAATACATCACAACATAACTGACAGGCTGCATGCCTTGGAAGAATGACCGCAAGAAGCAGAGAGGTTGAAACTAAACAAGATATTTCTGTATGCTCATTTTAACTTCATTTTGAAGTTGAATTTAACATTGTCATAACAAATAAACTGAATCACAGGCAGGAAAGGAGAAGAAATGTGACTGCAAGAGCAAGGGATGGAAATCCAAATTGGAATGATGCAGGAATGGCATGCTTCCAGTAGCCATCAGTGGCCAGTGCTATTAATGACCATCAATAGGCCAGTGTTGTTATGAAATGGCTATGACCACTTTGAAGAAAGTATTATGTTAACATATTTTTAAAGACATTTTTAGCACTCGTTAGCGTTAAAAATTATCTATCACTATGTCTTAAAGGAACATGAAAAAAGAATACTGAAAGCAAAAATAGCCCAGAATGCTACAGGGATTTACTGTTTGTACATATGAATCAACATTCAGCAAACTACGAATCAATTAGCGTGCACTAGGAAAAGAAGGCATTGATATTTCATTCAAACAAAGATGATTAATAAAAATGATTTTGAACTCATCACTGGGAGCCAGTTCAAGAAAATATACACATAAGACAGTCAAAAAAATAAAGCAGTACAAAGAGAGTACAATTTCGTTGAGCAGGATTAAGAAATTAACGTCAGCATTCTTAGACTGATTAGTAGTAATTTCAGTTACACAGAGACAGAAAATGTTGATTTTTTTTTTTATTTTATCTTTAGTAATGACTCTGTAGTTAAAATTAATAAAAGTAATACATTTGGGATTATGCTTTCAAGTACAGGAGTTAGTTTGTATTGCAGTAATCCAGAAAATTCTAGTTGAAAACTGCAATGCATTAGTCTTCCCAGATTATCAATCCCACCTGCAGTAGCTGCTCAGAAGGACACTGAAAAGGAGCTCTTTTTGTCAGTCTCTGCATTTAGATAAGCAACATCAGAAGCTAACAAGAAATGAAGAAAGTGTTTCAAAATGTTCCACACTACTGTTTTTCACGGTCACTTTGTTGATTTTTTTGATGTAGACCAAGGAATTCTGACAGTTTGCAGCATTTCTGCCAACATCTATCATTTGTTACTGATTAAGTCCTATATCAAATTACTCTTACGACTACCAGTAATAATTTATTGCAGCTGAATGTGAAAGTATTTTTTCTATAAAAGTATTTCTCCTATGAGGTGTTGGTTTTTGGTTTTTTTTTTTCCAGGTTTTCAGAAACAAAAAAAAAATTGTGGAATTCAACAATAATTAAGATTTCTAGAGCTATTTTGAATTTGTATCTACACATGTGTATTTACATGTGTATTTCATGGCACAATATGTGTGTGCAACAGGTCATGGCTCTGCACAAAAATTACAGCAGCCTGCCTTGCCCCAACCTTCCAGCTCAAAAAGGGAAAAAAACCTAAGCTTTTAGGTACTTTTTGATAAATAGGAATTTTGCTTCACAATTTGCATAGTACTCATATATCCTTTTCCTTGAATGTCTGAGATTATAAAATATGTCAACTGATAAAGTACATATTTAATATAAATATGAACACAATGTATGTATATAAAGGTGTATTCTTGTTGGTATGGTTGAGACTAGCAATTCATGGAGACAGCACAGCAAATCAACTATGGTGACATTACAGTGTAGTGACCTATCATTTACAGTAAGATTCCAGTAACTATATTTCTCTGCTATATTGTGTGTCAACAAAACTTTATTAGACATTAACTTATAAATCTTAGAAAAGAATTCTGGATTCTTACCTTGGACTTGACAAAAATGCATGACAATCTGCAATTCTTCAAAGGTTCACTTAAAATGAACAAAGCTATACAGTATGTGCATACATGCAATTACATATTTGTACGCATTTATCATACAAAATCTCTTCCACTACCAAGATTCAACTACAGAAATACAGTTCTTAGTGATTAAACTATTTAAATGTCACAATATGCTTGTATCTGTATATATTTCTACCAAGAAAAAAAAAAAAAAAAAGCCATTAAACTACTGGTTTAAGAATTTTAAAAGCATATTTTGCTGTTGTTTCATGAAAAATCAGAGTGTTACACTCTGTGTGAAAGCAAAGGGTGCCAGTTTTGTTTCATAGCTCTGTGTGGATTGTTTGCAGAAAATTTTTCTTTTATTTCATAGTGTAGGTAGATGAAAATATGAGAAAGAAAAAAAAAAAAAACAGGCTGTTTTTTACTTAAATTCATTGCCTTCCAGAATTCAACATTTTCATACTCAGCCATTCCATACATTACAGCCATGTTGCTATTAAGTTACACCATGGATTATGTATCTAATTATTTTAGTCAGGTCTCAACTGTTTACTGCTCTATCTTAAATCGTCTAGCTAAGGAAATCAAGAGGAAGATGCAAGATACAAGCAGAAACTGAATGCATCACTTTGTCGTTTGAGTTTTAGGCCTGTTAAAGCCAGTGTAAAATTTGGTATTTAAGTTTCTAGGCACAAAAGTTGCCCCATAAATTTTTAGTACTTGTCTCAATAGAAACATCTAAGACTCCTACTTGTTCTCAGACATGCACGTTTTCTTTTGAAGTCACTTCACAGCACAGTTTAATGCTTTAAGTATAGTTCTCTTTCTAGTTTTGTCCCCTTTCTGAAAAAAATAACTTGTCATGAATGCTAACATATACAGAATTACTGATTAACCCTAGCTCTTCTATTAAAAAAAAACAATCTTATGCTGTAGGTAGTACTTTTCCAAGAAGCTAGCCACACATCCAATATTAGCTGTAGAATATAGATATATAGGTTTTCTGTAATCTCAATAAGAAAGGAGAGAAAAGTAATCTCGATTTTGGCAATTGTGTTGATTTTTAATTAGTAGCAGTTTAAATCATTCTCAGATGTGCACAGAATGCAAGTACAAGCAGGCTAGTGATAAAAGTGAGTAATCTATTCCATCAATGACCAGCTGATCTCTCTTCAGAAGAGAGGGTTTAAGCCTGATAGAGGCATCATCTTCCACCAGCTGGGTGCATGTAAAGGTAAGTTTTCAAACTCCAGTCCAATGCATTTTAATCTGGTAGTCGTGTGAACTGATGCTTCAAAACTGATTCTTGTATGTGTTTTTCAAAACTGCTGGGTAACTGATTGTGCAATCCATTAGAGTGAAAAATTACGAAAAGCCGGACCTAGCCCCTCAATTAAAATTAGGGAATGCTCCCAAAAGGATCTGGTTGATGCCCCTTGCAGGTAAGCCTGAGAAAATAGAATGTTGATGGAAAAAGTGCCTCAATCATAATAAATTCAGAAATGTTTAAAGGTTTTAGAGATCTAACCTTTCAGGTGATTTTTTACATTAGCTTTAGCTAAAAGTCTTGTGTCTGCAATGCTGTAGGTTGTTCTTCATGCCAAATCACATGCAGTTTACATTCCACAAGGTTTCAGCTTTATTTCACAGTCCTCTGCTCTGCCTCTTCAGGGACTTGCACTAATTTGAGAGATAAGCTCGAACACTGGAGCTTCAATAGAAACCTAAGTTTACCCTGAGGATAAGAAATAGTGAGGGCTAGACTATTTGGACTTTCATAGGAACAAGAAACATCATAGAGTCTGGCCTGGCAACTGCTAACTCTTTCTAAATATGACAAATTGCGACTTCTAGATCTTTTATTTTTGTCACTGCAAGATATGAAAATTGCATGGGAAATTTTATTTTCCACATAAAGGTCTGTTTCCATAGAGAAACTCGTATCCAAGTACCACTGTGTGTAAATGTATATTTATGTGATGATGCTAGATAATAGTTTCCACTACTTTCACTGCGTGAGCTTGTCGTGCTAGGGCCTAAGGTATGCTCAGATTCCCATTTAAAGTTAATTACATGATTCCTGTTTACCTCAGTGGGAGTTCGATTGAGCTGTACAGAAGTGAAGGAATAGGTCAAATTCACCTTTTCTAGCTATAAAGAGTAACACCTGCCTCACCTGTTCTTTACTGTATTCAGCTATTCCTGCTGATGCTCAAGGTACCTCACAGATGTAACTGAAGTTAGAATTTGAGCCCTCTATGTATTCACGTGGCAGACACATGCATGTGTCTCTTGAAGAATGTAGTGTGAAATGCACTGTAAATAGTTTTAATATACATTTCTATTATACTTTAATAAAAATCCTAATCAAAATCACTAGCCACCAAGTTTGTCCGTTTGTATTCTTTTATCTTAAAAATATTTCAACATAGTTTCTGGATGCAGTATTTTTGTACTAGGTTAACTGGGTTACTCTGTATATCACGTTCTGCCTTTAAGGAGAATTGAAGTCTTCTGAACGTTATGGGTTCTCACTTGCTTCTGCCCTATGGATACTTAGTAAAATGAATTACGTTACTTAGAGAAATATTACTCCTCTCCTACTTTCTGTGCAGTTGATGGAGGATATAGTCAGGTTATTTTCTGTAGTCAAACTGCTGCTTAGTTCTTCATTTCTTCTTTATTCTCTTTGTATTACTGCATGTATCTTAAAATAAAAAAGACGATGCCAATTCAATTTTACTGTTTGTTAGCTAGTATCATTGAAGTTAAATTTTCAACACCTACCTCATTGTCCCAAGTAAAAATACAGCTTCTGCAAATATTTGTTATATTGCATTTTCAATAATTTCTCTAGCTCCTAGAAATTCAGACAAGAACTTCACTATTAATATCATGATATTTCTAACACACACATTGCTGATGGGAGACTGATTCTAAAAACAGCAAAAACTCATTTGCTACTACTAACCACTAGAGAGCAGTGCAGCTACACTTACTAGGAGCTATCAGAAACCAGATTATATATTGGTAAGTAGAACTAGCAAATTAAACTGTCACACAAATCTGTCCTCATCACTTGTCCCCAGGTGTCAATTTCTGAGTAGTATGTAAGAGAGAATGAAAAAGCCAACCTTCCAACTTCCAGCAAAACTGATAAACTTATTTTTTGCAACAAAAGTTATATTGTGTGCAAACTTCGATCTTGGCCAATTGGCTTCTTGGCATGTCCAGTTCTTTGGCTATTAGGTTCTCCACAGCAACAGTTCTGGGTTGGTGGGTTTATTTATTTATTTATTTATTTAGCTCTAGGCAAAACCAACAAGTATGTGCATCCCTGACAAACAGCAGTCTCATTCAAAAGTTGTGAAGAGCCAGCTTTAGTCCACCACAAAACACAAGCACCATTTGCTCAAACCAACTTCAGTGTGTGAATGCAACTCAACAACTGCCTATGTATATCTACATATACCAGGTAATCATTTGCTCTGGGACTACAATCTTTCCACTCCAGTCACCAACTTAGAATCGTCACGTTCCTGCACAGTGTTCAGTTGCCTCCTGAATGTTTGAATTCCTTTCAGAGAAACGGCGCTGTTTTCAACACAGTAATACTGGAATGTATTGGAATACATTCCTTACCCACTCCTGAAAAGAATATTCCTTTAGACTAGAGTACGTTGTTGAAGAGGTGAAAAGCAATATTAGACTCAGACTTTCACATCTTGCGTAACTATGATGACTTTTTAACAAGTGGAAAATAGCCCCTTCTTCCACCTATTTTAGTAAAGGCATCAGCTATTGCTAAAATGCAGTTATCATTCCCGTGAAATCTCTTTTTAAGATTTTCACAGAATAATTCAAATATGTGGGTTTCCTGCAGTAGTAAGCTTTAGGATCTGAATTTAAGGCATCTAACAGCCATTCGGTTTTTCAGCCTTTCAGAGCTGAGTAACATTTCTCAGCATTTACAGAACCATAACGTAGGACTTCAAGTTCCGCTGAAAAACATCACAAGTTACAATTTCATTTCAGTAACTTTTCATTTCAGTACATGCAGTTCCAATTTTTTGTAATGCCTGGCTGCATGGTTTTCCACTGTATTCCAATGCTTTATTTTATTCAACATGTATTTTTACATCCCCTAGAGATTAAACTATTCTCCAAAAAGCTGTAGTATTTTCTTTTCCGAACCTCTACTTTCAAGATCAATCAAGAACAATCCATTTTCCTGATATGATGAAATATGAGGCTGATCAATTCAGCCGTAACCTGCTGCTGCTGACTCTCAATAGTTTATAACAACTGATAAATAGCTCTGTATTTACATAGGTTTTTCTTTAACATTATAGAAGATCTTTAACACACACTAGGAGTAAAATAAATGGTTAAATCCTACCAGTAAGTTACACGTGATTAAGATCCCACACAAACATTTCTTCTTCTAAACTTGTTTTTTTTTTAGTTGATCAAGTCACTGGCATATTATTTTATGACATTACTTTTTTTTTTTTTTTTTTTTTTTTTTTTTAAACATAAGCAAAAGTCATTTCATAGATAAGTAGACAGGTTAATTTGATCAAGGTCACACAAAGTCAATACCTGAGCTGGAAATAGAATGAATAGGACTAAGATCTGTGTCCCAGTTCTGCTTTTACACAAGACATGAACAAAAGAAGGAACACTGTTCTATGTTGAAGCCATCTTCTTCCTTTGGATATATGAATGGATATATATACTGGCTGCTTAGTCTGGGGAAAAGGAGGCTGAGGGGAGACCTTATTGCTTTCTTCCAATATCTGAATGGTGTTTACAGCAAGAGCAGGTTTGGTCTCTTCTCACTAGTGACAGGATGAGGGGAAATGGCCTCAAGATGCACCAGGGTAAGTTTAGGTTGGATATCAGGAAACACTTCTTTATAGAAAGGGATGTTAAGTGCTGGAATAGCATCCTCAGGGAGGTGGTTGAGTCACCAAGATGATTTAGTGGAGGGTTGTTAGAGTTAGGGTAGTATGGTTAGGTTGGGGTTGAACTAGATGATCTTTAAGGTCTTTTCCAACCTGAGCAGTTCTATGATTCAATTCTGTATAAGTGCTTTATTATCAGGGCTATACAGAGTGCTCCCTTGCTGTCCTGATGTACTCAGGAGAAGTGGAGAAGTCTCCGTGTTACAGACTGAGATTAGATTCAAGTCACTAATCCAGATAATCACCAGAAGAGATATACAATCAGCTAACAGTTGTGCTGAAATAAAAGTCCAGTTCAAATTTTGCTGAAGTCCAAAAGGCAAATGCAGACTGTCAAAAATAAATGTTAGCTCACTAGACTGTAACTCATATCCTTCTTCCATCAAACTTCTTATTCTAAATAAAAATAAACTACTTCCCTAAATTTGCTTGCTACTATGTACTTGAAAAATACAGGAGAAAAGTATTAAGATACACATTTAAATACCTCAGCAAGTAGATAAGCCCTATTGGCATCGATCTGTATGTGACAAGCGACAAAAGGTATTAATACTCAGAGATTTGTATGAACTTTGGTGTAAAAGAACACTGTTGTTTAGATTGGAAATTGTTCAAAATCATACCATTTTCATTGCTAATATGACAAATTCTACTAACCTAGCTAACTAATCCTAGGTTTCACTTTAGGATGTACAATCAAGTATGATCAATGCCTGCTGCAATACAACATCCACTTGAGTACGTACTATTAAATTAGTTATGGATGTGTTAGGCTACCTTGAGCTCCTTGCTGTTAGGCCACCCATAGTTATCCTAAGGGTGGCTTTACCAACATAGCATTATCCGTTTACTATAGCCATATAAAATTGAGTATTGTGGTCTATCTGCTTAGTCAATCTTTATGACAAGGGATCTAGATACACTAGAATGATTTAAATGCCCAGCTAGCCTTGCTCTCCCTTCCTAGAAATTTAGAAGATTCCTGTAATAGAAAACATGTAGAAATACAGCTAAATTAATACCTGACAGAAACTAAGTAACGTGCTGTTTAATGGTTTAAACAGGTATGAGCAGATTCATATCTCTCTGAGTATGTTTAATAGCACTGTAATATAAACATATATTATATAAGTATCTTATTGTTTATCCTAACCCCAAACAAGAAAGTAAAGCTGAATTCTACTGTCCTAGCTCATTTTAGCCTGAGCAACTTGATGACAAGCCACAAAACAATAAATGGGATCGAAGAATGCAACCCACTGCAAAAGCATTTTTGTCACCCTGATCTTTGGAATCTCATTGATGATTATCTTCATAATAGAGCCTGGTGAGATTATCAGAGACTGGCATGATGAGATTGGTACAGCAATACAAGTTAATCATTTATTTCCATCCACGCCATTTAAAGATCAAACTTCGAAGTTATGCTTATCTTTTTTCTAGTGTCCTGTAGCTAGCAAGCTGAAGAAAGCCACAAAGCAAGAATCCATTCCCTTAGCTTTCATGCAGACAGCAATACTTCACAGATCTTTTAATGCAGCATCTAAGCAAAAATTGTAGGTTTGAAATCTGCATAAGGACAAGCTAGGCAGAAAAAGGAAAAAGGTTGTGAGATATTTCAATATAAAAATACCTCCCCCAAAATTAGTTATAATATTAGAAGAAGAAAAAAAACTTCTACAGAACTCGAAGGAATTCTGATTAAAGCATACATAGCATAATTCTTTTTACACATAAGAAAACGGAAGTCATATTTTAGTATGTTCATAATCCTAATTAACTTGTAAATTATGGGAGATTAAAAATGCAGCTGTTTGTTTTACCACTGACATTCCATCCAACCTCAGGGAAGAACAGCTCCTTATGCTGTCAGTTTTATACCAACATGGAGACACCATGTAACTCATAAATACCAGCCATTGTGGAGATTCCTTCTTAACAGAAGGATCCCTTCTTGTCAGAGCTGTGGGGCTGATCGGAAGAGAATCCTAAGGATTCATACTCAATGAAAAGAACTAAGGATGGAAAATTGGGACAGAAAGGGAGCAGCAAGAGGCTGTACCAGGAAATCCAGGAGCCAGCTACTTGCCATTCCCATGGCGAAACGGTTTGGAGCTGGCTGCTTAGCCTGACTTCTGAGGGAGCCCGAGGAATCACAAGTGAGAAGAGGCAAACAGTGAGATAACTGACAGGAAAAGCACATCTGAGAGAAACTCCTGTTAGTTTAGGACTCAGTCCATGAGACCCCTCCCTCTTTGTCAAGGTTGCTGAATAAAGTTTAATGTAGAAATTCATGCTTAAACTATGGATTTTGTTTTCAGAGCTTAAAAAGATGGCCTGAAATGACAATCATGAGGGGAGAAATCAGCAACACTAATTTTCTTTAAATACATAAAAGACTACTTCAGATGTTTTAAAGTTCCTTAAATGTAATGAATCAGCAGCTTCTTGGAGAGAAAGTCAAATCTACCTGAAAATTAGGAAACTCTTGAAATGCTCAAATGAAGTGTAATTTTCCATTTGTTTAGAGTTCATACTGTCCTGAAACAATGGGAATATTGAAGATGTTGCCATTATTCAAGTAAAGTATTTTCAAAGTATCTATCAGTAACAATAAATAAATATCCAAACTGGTAGTTCAACCTTTCCATACAAAAATACTGTACATTATATATGTGCATGAATTATGTATCCATATTCTTCTACATATATTTGAACTGGTTGCATGGCATGGTCCCATGTTTCTATTGGATTCAAGTCAACTTTTCAGGTGAAGAAGTGGCTCAAAAGTTACACTGCACCACTGACAGAAAGAACACCTCTGCAGACTATTAAAAAAAAGAGAATATTTTTAACAGTATGATCACCTAATACCATAATTTTGTTTATATCCATATACTACATAAGTGATATAGATAGATAATGATAATTACAAAGGTCAAGAGACAACGCAATGCAATAAAAGAGATAATCTGACTAAGAAACAGACATCCCTTTTGCTTTTTTTCTGAGCTTGCTGAACAGTGAGATGAGTATCCATGATTAGCACAGTACTGGGCATGGACTATGACAGTTTCTGAGGCACCAATTTTGTGCTCATCTCCATACTAGTACAACTATACATCTTCTGTCTTAAAACTAGCTGATTTTTATTCAGTTCCAACTACAGGGCTGGCAGGTGTACATAAATGTCTTGTCCATACCTGGCAATGCTACAGCTCACAGTGAGATATAATAAATTTCTCCTTGATATAAAAAAAATAATTCTGGAATTATAATACTTTTGTAGGGGCAAAGTTTTATTTTATATGGAAATTATACCTACTTCTTTGCAAATTCTATATTAGAACTTTGATGTAAGTCAGTGTGATTTAAATAAGAGAAAGAAATAAACATGAATACATGGGAAGAACCTGCATTTAAAAACTGTAATAATGAGACGTTAATGCTGTTGTTACATTATGAGGTAATCCCTTACATTTTCAACTGCAAATAAGCAGTCCACAAGCCTTCGATACGCCATTGTATCAAAGACGGGATTGTAAGGAAAGAACAGCTAGCTAGTGCAGCTAGACTGGCAGACTCTGCTTCTTCCTAGACTTAGACAAAAAAAGGCATTACTAAGATGAAAGGCTGCATCTTCAAGGGAGGGGAACTACAGCAGCTGGTACAGAGGAGGACGAGAGGACAAACTGCAGCTTGAAGAGGATATGTCCACAGCCCCAGTCCTTGCCACTTCTGGATGAAACTTCCCATGCAGAAAAGGCTGTGGGTTCTCGTTCCCTCACACAAGTTTATGCAAAATCCCCAAGTTCAAAACATCTGCTGCAAGAGGAGATGGCTCACTTCAAATGAAGTGGATTATGACATAGACATAAAAAGAGCTCTGTTGGCAGATCAGAGATAACCTCCGCTGGGATAAACTTCTTAAAGTGGAATAGGTATAGGTAGAACAGGAGGTGTTTGCACCTAAACAGACTGGTTTGTACCACATTCAAATTTCTGAGAGACCAAAGGATCTGGAAAACAAATTAATTCTGGTGCACAGTCAGTAGCAGTCTGTTTTGGGTGCAACTACAGCAACTTTGTTTGCAGTTGTTTTCTTTTCCTCTTTCCTTAACTTCTGTACAGTCTAAAGGTGAGGAGTAGCTATTGAGTTACTCCCCTCTGCATCCTGTTAGCCAGATTAGCATTGATTTCAAAATGAACCTGAATGGAATGGAAAGCCACGCCAGTTTGTTATCACTAGCAAAGTTCTAAATTTATAGTTATACTTCAATAAAACCTTTTGCTGCAAAACACCAGACTAGTAAAATTCATTAGTTAGATCACAACCCCATTACCTGTGTAATGAGCAAAATTCATTTAGCATTCAGGATTTACATTTTAAAGCTAACAGACAGCAGATCTAGTGCCACCCATACGAACAGACTAACTATAATCATGAATTTGGTACAAACAGATTTAGTACCAGCAAACTTGGTCAGTTTCAAGTAGAGCTATCTTGTGGGGAAGAAAGAGCTAAGTCAGAGTGTGCTCATTTTCTGCACTATCCTTCAACATTTAAAACCTGGGATCTATGGAAATCAACCACATTGGGTAAAATTCACTTAGCAGCACATCATCTATTGTAGAAATGGACAGAAGCAGAGCATTGACTGCATAGGCTATAATATAGAGAATAGGTAGAAAGTGCCCTGAATTTAAACTACCTATTAAAGAGTGAGGACATGAATAGAGAATATCAGCGCAATTTCCATAGCTTAGCACTAGACTAGAAGGTAGCAAATTGTTTCTGAAACTGAAGCAAGTTTCCAAAACTACCTGCAGACATTCAGTGGATCCTTCATCTCATGTTTATTATGTGGAGTACAACAGATTCTCACCAAATTAGAACAGACAAAGCAGAGATTTGTGTTTGGCTTGTTAAGTAAATGCATTTTCTCCAGTTGTAAAAAGACTCTCCCACCAACATAAAGTCCTATGCAACAAAGAAAATGTCAATACACTTGCTTAGTCTAATTATTACTTTCACTAGATAGCCAATTTTTTACTACAACTCAAATAAGATGAACACAATGAATGGATTAGTTCATAAAGAAGAGTATGGATTAGTTCATAAAGAAGAGTAATAAAGTTCATCATTTGGGGCAATAAGAGAGGGAGAGATTCAGCAAACAGTTGCTTACAAGTGGAAAACTTAGTGAAACTACAGTGACCTCCTCCTTGACAAGATCAATGCCACAGTTGAGCTTTAGCCAGCCACATCATCATGTAAATTGCTTTTCTGATAAGCCAGTTCATAAATTCTCTTTGCAAAGCTCTGCTGCTTACCAGAAGTCTGCCTACAGACAGAAAGATGGCATTTAATGGTACTTGGAAAATAGAGAAAAATGAAAACTATGAAAAATTCATGGAAGCAATGGGTAAGCCTTACATTTTGAAAGCCAGAATACAAACTTAAGCTGTTCATGAGCTACTGTCTAGCTAACCTGTCCTTTGTTGTCTGCTACTTTGCCCTTGCACATTGCCCTGCATTTATTTTCAAAAGTTTCTATAGAGGGGAATACAGGGTAGAAAAACACTGATTTTATTTGCATTGGGATAATCTTATGCATTTAGCTAATTCCAGTACAGGCATTTCAGCAGAATCTCTATGTCTACATTTGTGGAAAAGGCTCAGACAATTTGAGTGGAAAACTTTAAATAGAATTATACGTAAGGAATATTATTTTGATAAGACTGTTTGAAAAACTACACAAGAAGGAAATTGCTGGTCTCCAGTTTTGCAGAACACACGATCTGAGTAATTTTAACATGTTAATGCTTATTTTAAGCTTGTACAAACTGTGTGTAATATGGACATAAATATAATCATCCTAGTTGGATGGTGATTTGTATTACACACATACTGCTCAACACTGCCTCAATGAAAGGTGGAGAAGAGTAAGACTCTGAGTTAAAATTCTGGACTAAGCTCCCTCAACTAAAGAAAAAGTCACAACAAAAATGCAAAAATGATGTGCTATTTTGTTTTCTCTGATTGATGTTAATTGATTTTTTTTTTTTTTTTTTAGGCGTTAATGTGATGAAAAGAAAGTTAGGCGCCCATGATAATCTGAAACTCACTATTCAGCAAGATGGAAATAAATTTTTTGTCAAAGAATCAAGCAACTTCCGTACCATCGACATTGAATTCACTCTGGGAGTCAGCTTTGAATACAGTCTGGCTGATGGGACTGAACTTTCAGTAAGAGACTTTTGATATCATTATATATTCATTGAATAGTAATAACTTTACATAGTACAGTTTCAGGATTAATGACCCGTCTTCCTAAGTTCCTGTTTAAACTTGGCCTTTAAGGTCTGACAGTCCAGGAACACTTGCATCTTATATACAGAATCACAAATTAGCCTTAACTGTTAATGGTTCAGCATTGTGACAAGAAGCTCAGGGATGCATATGGTGCCCAAAAAGCAGAGTATCCAGCAATTTTCACATGCTGAAATCCAAGCAATTGCAAACTTTACTTCTTATAATACTCAAGTACACCATCTAGAGTGTAGTGTGGGTATCTGCAAGAAGTTAACCACATCGACAGAGAAAAACCTGAGCCTGACAAAAGGGCAGTTAAATAAGCTTTTTTCTAATATTTAATTTTTTATAGCCTTTCCAACTGTGTCCTAAAAAACATCATTACACTGTTTTAATCTCAAAGAACTTCTGCAGCTGTTAAATCAAATCAAATCAGTTTATTACAAAACATTTGTGGGTTGTTTTTTTTTTTTTCCCATTGTAGGGTTCTTGGAACCTGGAAGGAAATAAACTCGTAGGAACGTTTACTAGAAAAGATAATGGAAAAGTACTCACAGCATACAGAGAAATTGTAGGCAGTGAACTCGTTCAGGTGAGTTGAGCAGTCCCTTATACACAATTTAAGAATATAATGAAGTGAAAACATTCTCAGAGACGTCCTGAAAGTCCAAAATGTTTTGCTCAAACCAAATAACCTCCCTTATCTTCAGATAAAATTCTCAAATCTAGTAAAAGTATTAAAATCTAGAGCTTTGGAATTTAGAACATAAAACTGGCAATGTGTGATTTCCAACCTGGGTGAGCTGTATCTTATCAGCACATTCTGAAGTCTGTGAATACAAGCCGTATGTGGAAGCCATATACATACTAGATACATTCTCCCTGAAGGCCCTTTTTTTGCCTTCTAAAGTCATCCTATAGGAGTTTTCCCAAGGATAACATTCTCAGCAGCTGACACAGAACAGGAAGCTAAAGACAAAAGAGAAACCTTTCATAGCTCTCTGACCAGCTGGTCACAAACTTCTTAAATAAATAACCCCCCCATGGACAGGTGTGAGCTCTGAGCTATCTGAACACAAGAGGCAAACTCTTTCTCACATTTCTAATAAAAGCAAGCACATACGTGACACCTGGGAATATTTCAGTAGTGTGGGAGATTTAGTTTGTTTGTTTGTTTTGTTTTTGAAAGAACTGTCCAGTGGTGGTTCAAATGTTTCCATAGAGAATTTATGCCTATTGACAACAGGCTGCTTTCCTTCTGTTCCTTTCCTCAGAGCCCTTCCAAAGGCTTTTAGGCCCCCACATGGCCACCTGCCATAATTAATTAAACCACCTCTGACCACAACACCTGTTAAATAAAAGTTTATAATAGCAGTCACTGATTTTTCTTCTTAATTTCTGAACAGACCTATGTGTACGAAGGAGTTGAAGCCAAGAGAATCTTCAAAAAGGAGTAAATCCTTTACCCAGAACAGCACTGGAATCAAAATCCTGTTTTTAAAAAAAGACAATTTTTCTACATTTACTTTTTTTTTTTTTTAAATCTCCTCACAGCACCTCCTAAGTTGTGATTATTCAGCCCTAATGAAAACACAAGTTTACATTTAGTATTTTACCTTGAATTAAAAAAAAAAAAAAAAAAAAAAAAAAAGTCCAGTTAAAATTTGAAGCAAAGACTAAAAAGTTACTTGTAGGAAGTAACATGAATAACATACGGTAAAAGGCTGCCAAAACTATTTTCTATAACCAAAACTGCAATATTTTTGCACTGGCTCTTGAATAGCAACTTAGCTTCCTTACCATAACATTTGTAGTGACAAATGGTTTCTTTGTGTATGGAGCATTGTGTAATAAGAATGGTAAAGCTTAAGAGAACCCTGACAACAAGCAAGTCTCAAAAACTGTTATATGAAAATAGAAATATACAATAAATAAAAAAAAATATGCTCTGATAATACAGCTCACTTTGTTGTTTTAAATAGTATCTCTGATACCTTGCTGACATCAACAGGAGCAGTATCAAGCACTTACTGATGAGAGACAGATATCTCACACAGTAATCTTATAAGTTTGGTTTAAAAACTATGGCAATGCTTTAAAAACATACAGGCTTTGAGCTGTCCCCGTTTATTGAGGGTCAAAATCATTCTATCAAAAAGAGTACCAGCAGCTCTGAGTGATTTTCTTTCAGGACATGAATGAAAATATTAAGGAGTCTTAACTAGATAAAGAACGAGTTCAGATTAAGCTGACTTCACATGCAGTGCTTCTGATAGGTAACAAACAGGCGCCACATTCTGCTCGTGCTGCTTATTCTGCAGCTGCTAAATTCAACCCAGCCTCAACCCCCTGCAACAGTGCTATTTCCTAATGCCCTTTGAGGGTCAGCACTCTGCCCCGTGCTTATTCCTGTTTCTTAATGGGCACAGTTGCACTTTGATTTTAACGGCTTTTTTTTTCTTTTTTCTTTCTTTTTTCTTTTTTTTAAGTACTTCGTTAATTTCATCCCTCTCTCCTTGACTGTTCGCTGGGAATAAAAGAACTAAAGCAAAACCTTTCAGCCTTCAGTTACTCCTGCAGCTGAAGCCTCTCTGTCCTACGCTCAGGGCTCCCTCTGCTGGCACCACGCTCTCATGGCGCAGACAGGATTCTATTTGAGATGATGACGCAACTCATTTCCTTATAAACCGGGATTTCCCCCGCCTGCCAGACATCGATTGTAATAGATAGTCTGCTCACCCTTCTACACAGCGGAGCTACCTGCAGCCCTTGCAATGCTGACGGAGCCGGCGGGTCTCAGCGCCAGCTTTGTGCGCTGGCAGCTCCTCTCACAGCGTAAGCCACGCGGCTTTCCGCACTCTCAGGCAGCACGGCCAGCTTTCGACGCTAAGCGTGCGTGTCTCTGAACAGCTTCCAGTTTTCCCGCCTATCTCCACACCAGCATTTCCGAGCCGATCCCTTAGCGTTCTCCGGGAAGCCACAACAAGAGTGTGTCTATGCTCCCACTCAAGTCCTGGCGCGGTTTAAGAAGCACGGCCAACGTGACGGGCGGGGGCTGATGTCTGTTTTCCACACAGCTGACCGGGCACGCCGAGTGCCGGCACGGAGGCGCGACCAGCAGAGCCACGGAGCAGTGCAGGAACGGCACCGGCTCCGAGCCGGCCTCCCACAGCGTTTCTCCCCTCAGCAGCAGCAGCAGAGGCGGGACTTCCCTCTTCGCCTATCTTTCGCCACACTGACCCGGGGCCCCGCCAGCTCCTCAGCGGCAGGGCTACCCGACGGATAGGGGGCAACGCCCTTCACGGCAGAGAAGCCGCGGCCAACTACGGTATCCCGACCGCTGCACAGCGCGGCCGCGGACAGCGCCACAGCGAACGCGGCAGGCGGCTCTGAGCTCGCGGCGGGCGGCGGCAAACCGCGCGTCACGCGGCACGGGCGGTGCCCGCGCGAGGGCGTGGCGGCGGTACGTGCGCCCCGCTCCCATTGGCCGCCCACCCGGAAGCGCAACGAGCGCCTGCGCGCCGCGTACCGCGCCGAGCGTCTCGCGGCGGCCGCTCCGTGCGGAGGAGATGGAGGCGGCCGTGCGGCGGCGGCCGCAGCCCGAGGAGCAGAGCGCGGCGAATGGAGAGCGGCCGCCGGCCCTGTCGGGGCAGTCCTACTGGCTGGACCTGTGGCTCTTCGTCCTCTTCGACGTGGCGCTCTTCGTATTTATCTACCTGCTGCCCTGACGGGCCGGGCCCAGGTCAGTCGGGGCGAGGCCGGGGCAGGGCGGGTCCCCTCCGGGCGGCAGCGGGGGCGGCGGAGCAGCGGTGGCGGAGCAGCGGTGGCGGTCCCTGCCGCCGCCTCAGCCGAGTGCCGCGTCGTTCCGCTCGGCGTGAAACGAACGTCTCGCGGTTGGGTCCGTCACCTCCGGCCTGAGCGCCCTCACACGCAGCCGGAGTCCGCAGGCTGCTGCCGCCGCTCGGGACGATCCGCTGCGGCACGGAGGTTTCCGGTTAACGAGCCGTGAAGCAGAGGCCGAGATTCACGGACAGAGAGCGGTAAACGCAGATGTAATTCCGAACAACCAGCTGCTCGGCTTCTTTCGTCAAAAACGCTGTCACTTTGTAAGTCGGGCAGTACACTGGATGCTTCTTTCACGCTTGCTGCATCTCCCAAAGGCTGTACAGCTCTGAAAGTAACCGGAGCTTTCTTTTTTCCACAGAGCCACGTGGATCAGGAATCACTGGACGCACCTTAGGAACACAAACGGGACCATTTGGAGGAGAAGCATTTGCACAGCATAGACAGCAATGGAGAACGAGGCTTTCCACTGATGGAAAGGCAAGAAGCCCCGGAGCTGGAGAGATGGGTGCATGCTGTATCACTGTACAGCCCGGGATGTATTACAAGTATTGTCTTTAGGATTGTGCCTGTATCTTATCTTTCCATGTTCTAAACTGTGCCTTTCAGGACAGGAGAGAGTTTGACTGTGCTTTTGTAATTCGCTTGAAGACTTGAGTATAAATGAAAATATGCACTGTTTGAATAAAACCCAGCAGTCAGAGACTGAAATTGTTACTGACTTATTTGCTCAGAAGACGAAACTTAGCCCCTTTATCTTGCTTTCAAAAAATTAACACTCTCTGTACAGAAGTGCATGTGAGATTCTTGCTTCAGCAGTTACTGTGCCAGTGCACAGCAGTAGCTGCTGCCCTCACCTGCTGATTTAGGTAATACAAGTTCTGATTTACACACTACAAGCAGCAAAGGAAGGAGCTTACAAGAGCATTCTTAAGCAATTGCCAGGTTTCACATACCCACTCCCATCAAAAATTTCTAAGTCTCTGGCTATGACGAGGCTTTCAAAAACAGTGTTGCATCAGTGAACATCTTGAATGCTCAAGTTGCTTGCTGGACCAATGAGGTTTTTAGGAAGACTGGATGAAGGCACTTCAGCATCTGTATTCTTTATTTTCATCTTATTAATAATTTGAGAAGTACAACTTGATTTTTCAGAAATATAAAATGTAACTGGAGTTCTGAGTTTGGTTGTTCCAGTATTTTCTGATACAACCTGACAAGAGCTTATTTTCATTTAATACAATATTCAGGACACAGAAGTAGGTATGCATGCTCTATTTTCTTTTTTTCATTCTTAAGCAGTTCTTCATTGATGCTGGTTTTCATTACATATTTAACTTGTGTATTCAAAAACAAGACTGATGCTTTAAGAACTGAGTTACCTTTAACTGCTAGTGCTTATGACCTATGAAAATGTCAGTAGCTTAAAAGCTACTGGAAAAAAAAGTGAACAGGGATTGGATTCTCACAAATGGGAAAATGGTTTCCTTTTTTTTCTTCTACAACTGAACCGAACCTATTAAAGAGGTAAGTTTACTTTTGTTCCCCCTTTTCCCCCAGAGATTTCACTGTAAAGTCACAAAGGAACAAGCTACTAGAGGAACACTAAAACTCCTTCATTTCTCCTTTGTAAGGAAGACCGTTGAGAATAAGTCTTGACAGTTTTGACAGAAGAGAACCTAACGTAGTGATTTAGTTTCTTTCAGTTAAGTCTGACAGAAAAGGTTTTACATATCTCGGAAAACTTAAAGCTATCAAAGCACAGGCTTGTGATGCTTTGAGCTCAAGCTATTTCATAGCTTGAATAACTGCAATACCTGAATGTAAGCATCAAGACAACCTCATTTCTAACTAGTACAGCAAAACTGCACTATATTATATACTATATATATAGTACAGTATACTATATTAGAAAGCCAACTTTATAAACCAGTACTTCAGATGATGAATTTTACTGTTTAAATATGGTCAGAGAACCACCATCTCTTTAAAGCTTTCAAGCATTACTATTAGCTATCATTTTTAAAAAGTGTGGCTCTGGAAAGCCAGGGTGTGGTTTCATTGTTGCAGGTTTACTTCTTGTTTTTAAGGAAAGCGCAGCATACAAAAAGAATACAGACAAAAGACATTTTATATTTTTATCTGATAATTTGAACAAGCAGAACTTTGCAAGAAAATAATTCTAAAGACTGAAAAATATATTAATTACAAGACTTATTAATGTATTTACTGTTAAAAATATGTCTAGGCTCTTATACAAATCTATAGCCAGGAAGGGACATTTATAAAAAAATAAATAGGCACCCTACGTAAGTCAAGACAAGTTATCACTTATTTGTTAGCAAATATTACATACATACATGGAGTGCAGAGTCAAATATAAAAACAAAGGTGCCTTAATTAGCTGTTTACTATTATAATTAAACACCTGGTAAACATGGGTCACATAAAAAGTCGTCTGGTAAGATTGTTTCAAGCAAAGCAAGAAGACAGAAGTACATCTAAATTACTGCATCTACTTTAAAAATAAGTTTTACCAGTTGTGCTCACTGGAAACCAAATTCATTGGCATCAGTAACAGGCATTCATATTGCTTGTTGTATACAAGTATGAACATCGCTATGCATGTTTAAAAATAACTGTTATAACATCATTCACAGTTGTTGCTGTGCTATTTATACATAAAAATACTGTCATTTCAAATACAATTTCTGCAAACATTTTACAAATTATACATTATTTACAAATTCCATACTCTTCTTTGTTGTTGTTTTTTTTTTTTTTTACACAAGTATTAGAAGACAGCTTTACTGAAATGCTATGTATAGCATGTAACATTGCTGTAGGAACATTAGAAAAAAATTTACAAGAAAAAAATTTACAAGTTTTGAAATCTCTTTCAAAAGTAAGACAATTAGGATTCTTCCAAGGTTTTTCACACTCAAGGCTTTTTTTCTGGTTTGTTCACAAAAAGATACTTTGTTTACCACCAACCATTCCTAAACATGCATAATTATTTGCTACAAGCTCCAGAATTCATTTCTTCCTATAACAAATTCTCATCAATAAGGTAAAAATAAGGTTCATCTAAGATACTTTGTTGCATATGTTGTGTTCCAGTTTGACTACAAGTTACAAGTAGTTTAAAACACTGACCATGAAGAATAACCAAATGTATAACTTTGTTTATCTTAAAGAGTTCAACCAAATGTCAACGTTTGGTTGAGGCCCTAAAACTCACACATAAGGTATATAAACATAAAAAAGCCTTTCTGACTAACAGTGCAAGCATAAGCAAGAGTGTTTTCCATGAATATTTAACTTGCTTGCAATATTTTCCTAACTAAAAGGCATTTATGTTTAGATATAGTCAGCAGCACCCCATTTTTAAGATAAAACTAACAGAAATAACTTCAAAATTCAGTCTTTCCAGATTAATTTTAAGTTATACATTACTTAGAATAGACTGAAACAGAATTCTAAGCCTATGCTTCTGACTCAGCAACACAGAGTGGGTTATTTCAAACACTCAGGGCTGCCATGAGGGTAAAATCCTGTTCACCCTGCTTTTTTTCCCACCTTCCACCTGTGCACTGATTTAACATATAACCAAATAAAAGATTAATTAAAATTCTCTTCTGCTTTTTTACTGAATTAAATCGGATTAGCAAAAGACACAGTAAATGCCAAACCTGCCAAAACAGCAGGGCAGTGCTAGAACAGAGGAAGAAGCTTTTTTTTTTTCATGCTACTCCAGTCTGAACAGCTGCAGGATCATTCGCACTTAATTGCTATAACAGTACTTAACTATTTGTAGAATTGTTTCAAAGAGGTAAAATTTGTCAGTAAAATCATGTATAATCCCCACTAAATGTTGCCAAAAACATCAAGCTGAAAAGATAAGTTGAATAAATAACAACAACCTCCCTAGGGACACTGTTATCTAGCATGCTGTGCAATCTCATCTTGAAAGACTCCAATAATAGGTTTTCAAGATGTGGCTGAACAGAGCACTAGATTATCTCAAAGCTCCCTTTTCTCAAAAAAAAAAAAAAAATTGGACATGATTATCTTCTGAGATCCCTCCCAACCTGGGCTTGGGCTGTTCTTTGCTTCCATAATTCTGAAACCTTGTAAAAATACGCATTTGATAGTTGTATAGTAAATCTGTATTTTAAAATTAGCATCACTACTGCTCTATCAGTTTGTAGCTTATATAATTGAATTTCAGTAAGGATACAGCTTACAGGATAAACAAATCTGATAAGCAAGTTTAAGAATTTGTACAGAGCAGGTATATTAATAGGCTAGTATTACTATAGTTTACTTGGCACTAATGCTGCACAGTATGGAGCAGGGGAGGCAGGAACAAAGCAGGACAGCCAAGGGAGCCCTGCTCTTTCCTGCCTTGCAGCACTGGCAGCTCTAGGACTTCGCTGGGCTCCTTGTGCTTTTTTGGTGCCTCAGGAAAAGAAGACATAAGCTGGTTAGCAGCAGGAAGGACAAGGGAGGGAGAAGGATAAGAAGGACAAAGAGGCAGACGATGACTCCAATGAGAAAAGCAACATGGGTAGAGTTTGGGCCTAGAGCACACAGTGGCCAGTACCATACAGGGCTGACAAATGCTAAGGAGTGGAATAGCTGGTGGACAATCGTCTTTGGGCCTGCTAAGGATGCTTCTTGCCACAGCTTCACACTGGCTTCAGCAAGACATTAGGGTGAACTGTGTCTATGAAGGACAGAGTGCCCATTACGAAAATGTGCCTGCTCACACCTCTGAGGCCTCTCCCTAGGTACATCTTCCACCATGGAGGAGATACCAGCAAGGAAGTCCTGCCTGCACCTGGAGTGTACCTGCACAAGGAAGTGTCTGCTAAGGGATGTGCTGTGTTTTCTTCACCACACTCAGAACAAGCTGAGAAGGAAGCAGGAGCCCAGCCACTTAAACACCTTCTGCAAAGGCTCCTACCTGCATGCAGAGAAAACTGTCCGCTAGTTCCAGAACCAGGTGACAGCAGCTTGGAGGCCTCAGTTGCATGACTGCTGCCTGACAGTGCTGCCCTCTCACAGCTCCTTCAAGACTGAGCTCACCACTACCTCTACTGAAATGATGTTTAGGGTACAGCTCCACAACCCGGACATGTTCCTGAGTATTAAGCAGGCTGATGCCAGCTTCAGCAGCAGCACAGCATAAGCCAGAAATCTATGCTGGGGCAGCAATTCAGTTTGTTGGGCACACAGCCAGGTGTGTCCAGCACCACAGCTTCCACCTCCAACTATCTGCAGTCTTGTACATGTCTGCTCATGGGCACAAGTTCCCCCCATCCCAAGCCCTGAAGATAGTTCACAGAATCACAGAAACATCAAGGTTGGAGAAGACCTACAAGATCATCCAGCCCAACCATCCACCTATCACCAATAGTTCTCACTAAACCATGTCCCTCAACACAAAATCCAAACATTTCTCAAACACCTCCAGGGTTGGTGACTCCACCACCTCCCCATGCAGCCCATTCCAGTGCCTGACCACTCTTTCAGTAAAGTAGTATTTCCTAACACCCAGCCTAAATCTCCCCTGGCACAGCTTGAAGCCATCATTCACAGGTGTGATTCGCCACCTGACAAGCACAGCCCCTATCAAGGCTGACACATAAGGGATTGCCCATGTGGCAGAATGATCTACCGCAGCATCTCTGCTGCTGCCTAGAGAAGAAATGCCTCAACTGCTTCCTTAGGCTACCACAGGGTGCCTGAGAATATGGGTCTTATCACAGCCTTCTGAATGGCTCGTCTGCTCAACATCTTCCAGCAAGCTACTCACAACCAGGTGCTGCTTAAATTCAAAGACCTGTGAGATCACCTTACAAGAAGGCTGACCCTGAAAGAGGTCTGCACTGAGATAGGAATTGGTCTTCTCACACAAAACTGCTGATGGGACTCACAGCTGGTGGCAGATGATGACCTGCTACAAGAACGAAGAAGAGGGCAGGCAGGATGCAGAGACAGAAAGGAGAGGGAAGGCCCTGTGCTGCAACTTTCTGATAAGAGAAGCAACACCCTCACCGGGACAGTCTCCGCAGCACAGAAGACAGTGATGTAGCCATAAATTTTCACCCTGCGTTCCCATCCCATGAACTGGCACAGCCTGGGTGGCCATTCTGCACAGGACTTGACATTACCCCTCCCAGCTGTGGTTATGCAGTGATCCAGCAAGAGGCACCACTAATGTGCCTTGATGTGCTTGCTAAAGGCAAGGTGGAGAATCTGTCTGTCCCAGGACTGAGCATACTAGACAAGTAGCAGACACTACTCAATAGATGTCGGTATTGCTCTCGCACATTTTCTCTGCTAACAAACCTCATTTTTGGGAACCTGACTTCATACAACTTAAGATGATGTTGAGTGGAGGCTTGCAACAAAGTATTGTTAACATGTAGGCAGTGATCACTCACAAGCTTGGAGAGACTTCATTACTTCTGTGAGCCCCTGTGTACAGATGTCAATAAACTGATTCTATGAACAAATACTCCATCCGTGACTATGCAGAACTCTGTGGAAAAGCATGGGCATAAGATGCTGAGTACACAACTGATGCACAACCAGGGAGAGCTGGCAGAAAACACAAAAATCCACAGACCCACAGATTGACTGAGGTTGGAAGGGCACTCTGGAAGCAATATGGGGGTACTTATAAGACAGAAGGGAACAGACTGTTTAGCATGGTCTGTGTGATAGGACAAGGGGAAAATGGTTTCAAAAACCAGAAAGAGGGGAAATTTAGATTGAATATAAGCATTTGTTTTTGGTGTTCTTTTTTTTTTCTTTACCATAAGGTTAGTGGAGTACTGGAACATTGCCAAGAAATGTGGTAGATGCCTCATTCTTGGGGCACTCTCAAGTCTGGCTGGACTGGGCTCTGAGCAAGCTGATGTAGCTGTAGGTTTCCCTGGTCATCGTAGGGGAGCTGAATCATGACCTTTAAGGTCTCTTCCAACTCTAATGGTTGTATGACTTTATGATTCTACTTGAATTCCCTTTAAAAAAAAAGAACCTTACCTATCACTTACAAACAAAACAGTTCTAAAGAATTATTATTAAGGCTTTTAAATAGCAAGCTAGAAAAATCTCTGGATAAACTTGTATTAAAGACACTTAAAGGTTTGTGAAAGCACAGACTCTCAGCAACATCAGTCAAAACAACCTCCTGCTGCCTGTCAGGGAAAATACTGCTCTGCTGTACCCACTGTGTAATATTTACTGGTAGTATATTTATTCCTTTTGTTAGCCTAAGTACGTAGTGACTGAAGTCTGAAGGAACACTTCTTATACTGCAGCTATTTAAGTCTTTAAAAAAAATTTTTGATTAGTAACATCTAGTTGATCCCACTGCTGTAAAATGTATACACTTAAAGGGACCCTTTTTAACATAAATCATAGAAGACAAGCCAAGTAACAGAGGTAAGCATTAAGGCAACTAGGAGTAATAAATCAAAGACCTAGAAGTTTAGCACCTCTTCTCCTCTGTTCACCTCCGTCTGCATATTCATTTAAACTCCTAAGCAAAATACAGCTGACTGGGTACCAACTACCACACAGAGATTCAAGTCCTGTGCCCATTTACAGACTACATGAAATGCAACAGTCAGATCCAGATGTATTATTAATCTATCTACTGCAGTGTAAGCCTTCTACATTTGCTCTGTACCTTTGCTCAGATGTGGGATGCGTGGGCTCAAGAGTAGTATGATACGTAGCATTCAGTTCTACTCCAGTTGGTGTTAGATGCTTTTCTTTGTGAAAGCTTCCACTATCTGTAAAATAAAGCTTGGGTCTCTGATGATATTTCATCCTGTATGTGTCAGTCATACAACTGTCTACTGAAAAATAAGTTGTTAGGGATACACTATCATTTCCATCCACATAGCCAGCACTTGGTCCTGTATGATGAGATCCTTTCTTTAAGAAGTTCTCAGACATCAACCAAAAGTCATTAACTGGTAAGCTAGGTGGAGAATCTGGTTTATGAACAAACAACTCATTCCCTTGAAATGACTCCTTAAGCCTTTGATCGCTTGCAAATACATTTGTTTCTGATGCAGACTTAAAAGGTGTACCTGTTTGTCTTAATAAATTATTCTGCAACACTTCTGTTGATTTTACATCAGCTACTGAGTTAGTTTCTGATCCTGGCAAAATATTCAGAGCATATTTCTTTGGAGGTAAAGGGGGAGGAAGATTCTGGTAAACGGCTTCTGGCACCCAAAGAGCATCCACCCTTCGGAGCTGGTGTCCGGCATGCTCACAGGGAGGCCTTTCTGAGGGATTCTGTGGCACAAAAGGTGAAAACCCCACCTTGGGACCAAATGTTCTTGCATGATGAGGCTGCGGTTGGGAAGAAGGGTGGAAGTCATTGTTGATGGGCTTCCTTCCACAGTTGTTTTCTGTATAAGGGTGAGATACACCAACAGCGCAATATGCTGACACATTCATTGTCTCAAATCTGTCTGGATTAAGCCACTCTGAAGAACTCTGTTCATTTGCCTTGTTCTTACTGTCTGACTTCACAATCTCTTTAACAACTGGCTGTAGAGCTGACGATGGGAAGAATTTCCTGCTAATCTCAGGCATTTCAGCTCTAAAAACAAACAAACAAAAAAGATGTAAGTATACCTATACAAACATAAAAGGCCAAATGACCAAGCACCTTTAACAACAGCCCTGGTAACACTGCCTGGATATCCTTGAGCTGATTAGAGATCTGGTGTCTGGTTAATACACAACTGTTTAAGTGTAACTTCTATTAAATCACTACAAGCTTCTTTCATCTGAAATGTACTGTGTCCCAAAAAAGCCTCAGCAGACAATTAAACAGCCGTAATAAGAAAATTCCTTAGAGATTCTGGACTATATCAAATACAAATTCTGTTTGTTTTTTTTTTAAACATCTTTGTGACTCAGTCTGATGCATCAGTTTTTCAAAAAGCGTCTAACATTTTTGAGTGCCAAGCATGCATTTAGATTCTTGATTTCTGGGAGGTTCTGAGCATTTGCAGTTCCAATCAGAAACAACGAGTATACAGCCACAGCTTTTAAGTAGACATAACATTTTCCTCCCTTTCTTGCCAAGCTTTTCAAATCTTTATTGGATTACTGCGTTAAATCTCTATTGTTCTATGATACCAATTAAAAACAAAAATATTAAAAGTTTTTGCACTACTAAGATGGTTTAAAACTACCTAAGTATTTGGGGTTCCATCTACTGAATACCAAAATTAAAACTAGTTTTTTCCCCAGGAGTAGAGCTTTCAACCCTATACATTAGGTAAATGCCTAGGGCATCATCTGTCAAAAGATTTAACATCTGTCATTTTTCACACAGTTAACAGTGATTTCTATCACGTTACAGAATTCAGTATTTTTTAATAGTATTACATAGTAAATTAATACTAGTTTAGTTTTGTTTTTTGTTTTTTTAATTTAGTTACCTCTTTACTTGCGGACTGGGCACCTGCATATGTAACTCTGTT